GAACGCCAACGCTGGCGAGAGACATAATACTGGTATGAAAATATTTGCATAACAAATGAAATACCTAAATAATACCGTCAGAGAGATGACACATCTGTTTTAATCTCCTAAGGACAAAGGTACAGAGACTGAAGTTTGAATTAGATATAATAAAGGGAACTTCAGATGGTCTTGGTTTATATGACTGCTGATGTACTAGATGGGGATGAAACCATTATCAAGAATTACGGCACTTTCTACAAGAGGAATGCACGTTGAAGAATAGCATTTTGTCATGCTGCAGTTTATTAAATCGACCTCTATCTGAGCACAGTAACATGTGACGGCATCTGATGGAGCATGTCCTACAAAATGTAATGCCTTCAGAACAAGATTAAGGCAAGATCTGTAAGCTGACAGATATATGATAATGAAAACAGTGTTTAGAACACTTAATTGAAAACTCTCCGACAAACAGAGTACAAATACAAATGTCGACTTAACACAGTTAAACAAGGGGCCAAGCAATTGTTATTAACAATTACATGTGGTTGGTGAACATTTGATTTGGTGCATGTCATCGTGTCCCTATTGCGTGGATCGATGTTCATGATGCCAATCGCTGGATTATCTGCTCCAGGCTCGATTATTTACAGACCGCCGTCATATAGTTGCAATATTGCTGAGTTCGTGGTGTCTCATATATACTAGCGGATACATGTACATTTTACTTGTAATAACAACCTGAATGTTTGATTCAAACAAGACGCATATGTGAAATCATCACATTGGAAACAGCTGAAAAATTACAAGTTAAAAACAAACGGAAATTTATCAAACTAGTTTTAAAAAGTTCAAGTATTACACGTTATATAGGGTAAGTTACAAATCGTACAGATACACACACTGCAATCTATATGATTGTAGAATCCTTGGTGAACATCAAACACATGAAAACGTACGAAGCTCAAGTTGCTGTCTGGATCTAAATGGGAATTCTGCACATAAGATTGCTGCAAACTGGTTGCACATGCGCCTGAAGAATTCACAATTTGATTTTTTTGGTTTGGTTTGTTGTTTAACGCCGCACTCAGCAATATTCCAGCTTTATGACGGCGGTCTGTAAATAATCGAGTCTGGACCAGACATTCCAGTGATTGATATCATGAGCATCGATCCACGCAATTGGGATCGATGACATGCATCAACCAAGTCAGCGAGCCTGACCACCCGATCCCGTTAGTCGCCTTTTACGACAAGCATAGTCGCCTTTTACCACAAGCATCTGAAACAAAGTTCAAGTATTAAACGTGTAATATAAGGCAATATAACACTCTTAAGGTACACACACTACAATGTATATGATTGGACAATCTCTGAAAAACATCAAACAGATAAAAAGTTATGAAGCTCAGGTAGCTTTCTATATTCCATGGGAATTCCACACACATCCTTGCTACAACTTACATGCGACTACATAATTTACATGGATATTAATCCATGTTTCACCAAATCGATCTGTATGTAAATATCTGTAAAAGGTGAGAACTGTCCATCAAGAAATTACAGCAATCAGAACTATAAGCAGGTATTGAATCAAAGTTAAACATTTTCGATTTCATATTACAATCACGAGAATAGGAATTCACATTCGAATGCATACTCATGAACAATTAACCAGAATTACACTTTATTAACATCTATGAAATTATTATCATTAAACAGCAGTGAAAATGTCAATGTCGTTCACATTCAACGTTACATCATACGAGATTACTTTTTATACACATGGACATAATGGGAGCCACCATTACCACATTGATTATCTTTTACAGATTTTATATGGATTGACCCATTAACAAGCTACATAACAGACACATTTACAAACTTTCACATGAATATTTGGATTATTGACAAAAAGGCAACATGATGATAATGTTAATGTTAATGGTTGCTTCACTTGGATATCATACATTGAAAGTGAGACAACAATAGAAGTAAAATCATGGCTATTGTAACAACAATAATAAATGTGTATTTGAACCCACTGTAATAAAGCCTAAAATATACTCACCGCCAAATGAAACGCAAATACCATTAAAAGAATTACTCATATTCAAGAGATATTAGCATGGTTGATGCATAAACGAACTGGTATGCTGTGTGAACCGACATCAAAGATCCATGACTATAGATGCACCATGTCTCATGCAGGATTAACGTGTAAAGTTTAGAAATCATCTGCAGCATATCGTGATAAGAATAAGTCACTCTGTGGTAACAAACTTGACTGATTGTTAGTTTGGCATTAACTGGTACACATTGGAAACATCGTTCCTCAACGTACACACTCCTCTATATGTTTCTATGGTTCGCGTTTCTTTTGGCGTTGATTATATTTCATGTCTAACATGCCCATCAAAGGCTATAAAGGACCATACATTTCAAGGAGGTATATTCCCATGACAGTTTAAATCCTGTTTGATACTCCGCTTCACGAACAACCTCCAATAGCTAGAGGGATGGTGTGAATCCTAGCAGTATGGTGCGACATGGCAGCCAAAAATAACTGAATTTACTTCATGAGTTAACAAGTCAACGATCGCAACATGATCGTATAATTTAGAAACTAAAGGTTGTAGAACATTGGAGAAGGGAAAAAGATAATTATTTGACACGTGGACGTGTATTTGGAAACTGACGTTTGAGCTTTGATCAGAAGTATACCCACAAGTTCTTGAATTCATAATACATAGTTATTTCCATGTAGGCCAAAGGCCAGCATACCAAATAGTAACAAGAATACTCTTTGCGCATGTTTGTAGCACAAACATATTGTTACCTCACCCCCGTCCCAAACCTACCCAAAGTTCAGACCCACAACCACCGGTGTGTAAATAGATAACAGTTATATTTCAAAGTTACCTAATCTCTGTCTTTGAGCATATGAAATATGAATTTAGAAAAAATATGAATAATGTTTGAACGTTCATCTTGTAACAAAGTATTCAGATAGATATCGTTGTCTCAAAGTAATATAATATGGATACACCACAGCAACTTGGTATTCATCTTACAATTCATTAATACAGAAAGGGCAAATGCGATTTTCCAACGCTAATTTTCAAGCAATAAATTATGAGAACTCACTCTGAACGGGCTTACTATTTTTTTAGACGTCAATTGAATATTTGTAAATAGGGAATATTTAATATTCGAATATAGTCTTGATTCACTGAGCGACATCAACTTGTTTCGCCACATTTCCCAGGCCGCGTCATACCAAAAGACGTTAAAAGATGGAGCTTGTTGTTACCCTGTCTGGCGCTCAGCATTAAGGGGCTAAAGCAAGGATGGTCGGCTCGCAGTCAGTATACTGTGTCTGAGTGGGGTATTCATGTTAAACTGTTCATGTATCTCAGGGGGGCTAGGAATATTATTCGACATCAGTCCGGACTAGTACAAGCACGCACGCACGCACGCACGCACGCACACGTGCATGTACCTGTTCCCGAGCTCCTGTAACAAACTTTACAACCTTGCACTCAGACCTGAGCCTATTACATTCCTCTTCAAACCACCCCTGTCTACGATTTCCACGTGCTCCCGTAGTGATATGTGACTTATGCATAGATCTAAATATGCAACAAATGAAGCGGTCTCACTGGTCTCCATTATTGCGGGTTCAGGTGGGTACATTAGTGGAAGGGAATTGACTAGTTGATGGTTATTGACTGTCCCATTGAAAAACTTCTAAAACGACCAGGCCTACCATGTACCCAACAAGGGCAGACAACTCGAGTTCTAGTACAAGACCATTCTGGAAAGCTCATACTATTGACTGCTGTTCAATATAATAGAAATGTTTACTGTTCGTTCAATCAATTACAACAAACATATTTCCACCGTCACTAAAATTACTTACACAAAACTATTGATGATATATTCATTTCAGATTATGTAAGTAATGAACCCATACCAGGCACCAGATGACAATAACACAATAAAGGATAAAAGCTGCAGGCATCACTGGTATTTCCTGTCACCACCAACCATATACAATAAATAGTCCAGTTACATGGCAGCCTGCAAATAATCAGAAATTCTGAAGCACACAATCCGGTGGTCGATATTGTGAGCAATGTTTCACGATATAAGGCTACGAAGACACACAACCAACCCAGCCAAGAAGCCTTGACCCCATATCCGTTTTGTATTTACATCAAGAGGTGCCTTCAAGATGTTTAAGATGACAGATATATGATAGTGGAGATCCGAAAACACAAAGAAAATATGTTCTACAATCAAGATCAGCGAAGATCCGGGGTAGAATAGGTCATCAGCAACCCATGCTTGCCGTAAAATCCGACTATGCTTGTCGTAAGAAAGGCTATGGGGATCGTGTGGTCAGCCTCGCTGACTTGGTTGATGCATGTCATCGTATCCCAATTGCGTAGATCGATGCTCATGATGTCAATCATTGGGTTGTCTGGTCCAGATTATTTACAGACCGACGTCATACGGCTGGAATATTGCTGAGTGCGGCGTAAAACAATAAACAGACAAATACAATCAGTGATTATTCACTTAAACCACGGAGCTCTACATATGTATATTTCTTGAGTTTTACTTTAATTTATCCTGTGTAAGGTAGCGCTATGAGCAATCACATTGACATACTACCTCATATAGATTGTTAAAGATTGGACGCACCTGGTAAATTTAACCAAATCAAGAATGCACATGTTGACCTTTACGGTTAAAGGGAAGATCCACGAATTGTAATTAATAGTTCATTTGGGTAGTCAACATTTCATTTTCAAGTTAGCACACCGGAAAACATAAGAATATTAATGTACATACACGTATGTATGAAAGGCTGAGGTTAGATAAGCTCCAGACACAGATACTGTTGTCTCATACAGGCGCATGTACTTTTAACTAGTCATAAAGAACTAAATGTTTGATTCAAACAATAACAAATATGCAAATTGGAAACAGCTACAAAAATTACGAAAATAGAAAACAATGTAATTTATCAAAACAAATAAAGTTCATATGTCATACATGTAAAATAAGGTAAAATAAAGATTATATAGGTACACAGTGTATATGGTTATATAATATCTGACATCAAACCGATGAATAGTCATGACGCTAAAGGTCATTCCTAGATTCAACGGAAATATTCCTATTTTTTCACCACACCCATAAACTTTATGTGGTAATAGCCGCTCAACAGGATATGCATTGAAAGTGGAACAATACAAGTCAAACAATGGCAATCTTAAATGCATATTTAAAAAACAACAACAATACATCTTATCTATTACGATATTAAGACCATTTCATTCAAAGTAGTTTTATTCCTACCAGAGTTTTATTTATAGTATACTGGTTGATTTCTATTGTTGGCTTCACTAACTTTCGCCACTAGGTAGGGGGATGATGTGAGCCCAGCTGGGTTACCATGCAGGTAGCAGGGGTACTCAGCGAAGTTGCCGCAGTCCCAAGTATGATGGTATGACTTGGGTTGCTGGGGATCTATAGCCTGATCGTAAATTTCAGACCGAGGAAGCTACGCTTTTGCATACACGTCTCTGCTTATGATTACATTACATTTTGTTCAAATCACTTGGATTTTCCTGTATTTCTTTTTTAATTTATTGGAAAGAGTGTTAGGACAATAACCGTTATTTCTAGCAACAATTTACTATTCACACTTGCCTGGGCCATGCCACAGCTCCATACATAAGTCACTAGTATACAATTAAAAAACACAATACAATCAACACTAATATTAGACATGTTACTTTCTATATGTCATGACTGTTGTCCATTTTATATCGACAACGAATAACTGTTTTACAAAATCACACATGTTCAGGTTTCAATGCCATAGATTTGGGATCAGTGCACAAGTTCTCAAACATCATGGCCAAAATAACTGGAGGTGCTTAGCTTTTCTCCAGTTGTATATAAAGCAAACATTTTATGGTTGTTACGTTGGTCAGGAAATGGAGCCATTGGCTGGCCCAGTATTTAAAACGTTTGCTTGTCAATGAATGCTAAGGTTTGATTCCCCACAATGCATACAATGTGTGAAACCCATTTCAAGTTTTCCCTGACATAATATTGCTGGAATAGTACTAATAGGCAAATTCTTACCACACCCATAACCACACCCACACCCACACCCACACCCACACCCACACCCAAGTTTGAAAATAGTGTTTGCCTTGATTGGCATATCATACAATAAAAAATAAACATTATTTTGTGTCATGTGTTGGGCCTGCAAATTCAAAGCCATAGTTGCCACGTTATGGTACTGCATTTAGAACATGTAAGAGTTTTTGTCCCTTATGAATCCACCAGGCTGTATTGCATAAATGTTCCAGCTCCACACATGTATCATAGGCAGTGAGACCATCAGTGTTCTTTTTAGACAGATCAGCACCCTCCTGCACAAGCAGTTTCACAAGGTTGTATTGCTTTCTTCTCACAGCAATATGGAGAGGTGTGTCGCCTTTATCATCAATGGCATTAACGTCACTACCGTTTACCAACAGAATCCTAGCGATCCTAGCATGACCAGATTGTGCACATCTGTGTAGAGGTGTCTTTCCATGTGCATCCTCTACATCCACATCGACACCAGCTTCTAAAAGCAACTCCAGTGAGCGCTGACAGTTCATGGAAGCTGCATGGTGAAGTGGGGCATCCTCTTCGAGGTTCTGGATATCAGCATCAGCATTCCTATCTAACAGTTCCTTCACAAACTTCCAAACCTGTATATATCGTCTGCGTTTTGGTATGTTATTTGGGTCTTTCCCAAGTTGACATTGTCCCACAAGTTTCAGTAACAGGTTCAAAGGAGTGTTTCTATTAGCATCTGTAACATTAGCGTCACATCCATCGTTTAACAGAACACACAACAGTTCATAGTTGGATCGTTCTACAGCAACATGGAGAGCAGCAAACCCATCACGGTTCCTAATATTGCCATCAGCGCCATGTTTCAGAAGCACCTTCACTCTACCATTAAGGTACATTCGACTGGTTAACATCTTCCAGTTATAATGTGCCCTCATGTCTTTCTTTTTAAGCCCTTTAACTTCCGACAATTTCTCTTCGATATGTTTTTTACTCCTGCTTCCCTTGCTTCTCCTGCAAGCAATCAAGAGTGGGGTGTCACCCATCATGTCTTTTATGTTCGGATCGGCTCCGTTCCTCAGCAACAGATCAAGTTTACCTTGACTTTGATTTTCGGCAGCCAATATGTGCATTGCTGTTTGTCCTTCCCTATTTTGCATATTGACCTTGACATCGTGTTCTAACAGCACCATCAAACACTTCAATGAACGACATGATCGATGAAGTGCAATGGAACCACACTGATCTTTTGAATTTACATTTACAAATCCCTTTTCTAAAATCAAAGCCATAGTTTTCCATAAGTGTTTAAATGCAATATTTGTAAACATTTGTATTGAGTCTCCCACTAATGTTAGGTTCCATCCATGTTCAATAAGTAATTTGAATACCTCAAATGGTATGTATCGATCCCAGATATAATTTGGAATGATTTCCTTTCGAGAGGGTTGTATTCTAACGTCAGCTCCTTTCTTGAGTAAACACACCACCATTTTCCAGTTACTGTTAATAATTGCAATATGGAGCGGCGTGTATCCTACCATATTTTCGAATGCATCAGAATAATTGTCATTCCTGGGATTTGCACCTTCTTCAGAAATAATCTCTTCTATTAATCCTGCTTTTTCAGTTTCCGTGCTTTTTATTGGAGCTTTGTCAGTTGTGCTAGATGCTATGTTAATGCTACTGGTATCAACACCAGCGTCAAGGAAACCTTCTTCAGAATTCATTATGCAGTTGGCATATACATCGTCTTCAAAAGAGCATGGACCGATTAGCCTTTGGGTGTCTTCAGTGGTAACAGGATATGTTTCATTTGTTGCAAAGGTTTGTATGTTTTCAGTTGCTCTCTCGTCAATCGTGTTTCTCTCTGAATGAGCATTTTCATCTGAGAATGTTTTGGCAGGATAACTGTTTTTTTGCTGAGTAACTGTCATTCCAGCATTGGGTGATAATTTCACTGATGTTTTGTTTTCATTGTCATGTTCGTACGTTTTAGGTATTGTGGGTTTGGTTTTGTCTAGTCTTTGCTGTGTGATTGCTCTGTTATCAGTAATGATTTGATTGACATCAGCTCCATGGTCACATAGCAATGCAATGACTCTGCAAGTATCTTTCACGTCAATCTCAGATCCCATGAAATGGTCCATTGAAATTATTGAAATGATTGAAGTGAATGAAGTAAGATCATACTGGCGTTCAAATATGTAGTCAGTGGAAATATCTTCTGGGTATTTACCTGTTGCAAGTTTTACAAGACACTGTTGGGCACATTCTGGTGTTGGACAAAAACCATGATCGATGAGGAGTTTCACTTTTTCAAAATTGTTGGTACTTGTCAGAGGGTGTAGAATTAAGTTGCACATACCTGTTGAATTCTTCAGACAATATTTCAATAACATTGCAAGAGTGTCTGCAGGTGTAGTCACAGCTGCTTCATAGACAGGTGTAATACCATTTTTATTTGCCAACAAAACATTAGCACCCATTTTGAGAAGGATTTTGACACATGCTTTTGTGGATCGTGTTGACAGTGCTAGGTGCAAAGGTGTGTTTCCGTCATTGTTTCCCTGATTCACATTTGCCCCAGTGTCAATAAGTTTTTTAACAATCTGAATATTGTTACCAACTGCAGCAAGGTGGAGCGGAGAGTTCCCATCGTTATCAGTTATTGTGATATCAGTTCCAGCTTGGATGAGGGTCTGTACCTTTTCAGCTTTGCCAATTTCTGATAATATGGCCAAATGGAGAGCTGTTGAACCCTTGGTAGTGCGTACATTCACATGAGGGTATTGTTTCAGAAGCAAAGTAAAACATTCCATGTCACCATTTGCACTGGCTATGTGCAAAGGTGTCTCTGAAGAGCTGTCCCGATATTCTGGAAGTGGACATGTCATTCGTGATAAAATCACATTCAGTACGGCAAGGTTGGAATAAATGATGTGTGAATGCAGAATTGTATATCTGTTCGTATCAACTGCATTAACGTCAGCACCACAATCAAGAAGCAACTGAACTGACTCTATACTGCGTTTTGAGGCTTCCAAAAGTAGCGTTCTGCCTTCTATGCCAAAATTCTGTTGTGAAATAACCTGTTGAGCACCAGGGACTTTTAATTTGTATTCAACCATTGAGCAGTGTCTTAATAGTATTTTAAGAGCATCCGGTGATTTGTGTTGTGATGCCAAGAACATCATCTTGCTGCAGTCACCCTGAGCGCCCTTCTTCAGAAGAAGTTCCAACATCTGTGTTAAAATCCCTGGTCTGTTGCCATAATTACCTTCACAGTTGTAAAACTGGGCCAGCAACTGGTGGAGAAACCTGTCCATCATCATTTGGTAATAACATGTGCTCTCCTTCATATATTTGATTAACTCACTTACATATTTCACCTTGAGAACAGCTATTGCCAAACTCACCAGATCCCCAAGGTAATAACTATAGAACCTTTCTGTTTGTACGAATCTCTGAAGAAGGCCTCTCATCAACAATCTGTCCTCTTTGTCTGATACAATGCACAGGGGAAGGATGGTACGTGAGAAATCAATTTTACCTATATTTGTTTCAGGTAATATCGCTCTGACAATATCTCTGTTCCCCATAAAACATGCACAATGTAAGAGTCTGATATCATGTGTCAACCTCGCTTGAACCAGTATTTCCTTTGCTAGTGTCTTAAAATTCTGCATGATTATCAAACAAATAAGACTTTTGTAGGTGGCCATCCATCTTCTATACTGTTTTGAAAATAAGATTGATAAGATTGACGCTTTGCTATTGGAATAGGAAAAGGGAACATCCTTGTAAATATGAAAGAGACCAATTCTTCTGTGGCAGATACGTGTACAGCCCTCGCATTTCAAGACGTCTTTTGTGAGATGAATATTAAATTGTTTGTCTTTCAAAGCTGGATGACTTAACACTGAAAAGAAGTCCCCGTCTGTGAGTTCAAAAGCTATTCTCTGTGCTAGGAAATGGCAGCTGTTTATTTGAACTTGAAACACAAGACTTCCTTCTGATGCACTACACGAAGAGACTCTTGTGTATTGAACCAGAAATCTAGTGGGACATATGTCAATTATGTCTTTAATATGAAAACTAGAAAAACTCAGGAGTACAGAATCATACCATAGAGGGTGACGAAATCGGTATGTTCCGTCTGATTTTGAGTATGACAAATACTCCCCAACCATGCTGTTGGCTACACCTTCAAGACAACATGGACTTTTATCAAACGGTACAAATCTTCTGATGTTTTTCAGAACAAGAACAGTGTCATTGATTTCACTAGACTGTCTGTCTGGATAGAAAAAACTCTTTGGTAGCCGCCCCTGCATCACGGCAAGGAGAACCAAGACAATGTATTGAACATCATTTTGTTCTCTCAGTATCTTGCATCGCTTAACTAAGCATTCAACGGGGTTTTGGAAATACTGCATGCCTCTCTCTTGTGCTTCCCTGCTACTTGCATAGAATTCACAGACCTTCGGAAAACATGTTATGCTAAGTTTTGAAACAATCGATTTTTCTACTGTTGTGAGATTTTTTTTAGATACATTCTGAACCATTTGTATTTTTTCCTTACGGGTTATTTGATAGTTCGGATCTGAAAACGACAAAACGTGTGAGGTTTGGAATATTGCATATTCTGACAGTTGTTCTTTGCAAGTGTTGAAAATATCTGTACAAAACAAAAGAACCAGGTTCACACTTCCAAATTCAACATGGGGCCAAATGCTGTTAAATTTCTGCAGCCATGATGCCTTTAAATAGGGTTCAATGCTGTCGACACCAAACATGTTGTCCACTAAAACAGTAACTTTCCTTTTAGGGTGTTGCCTCTTTGGTAGATGCAGAGGTAAGGTCCCCCAATCTTCTGGACTGGTCAGGATAACAGGTTTTGATCCCGATGTTACTGATTTTAGGATGTGCAGACCCAGAGCTGTCTTGCCACTGCCTCGCTGTCCAACAATAACCAGCATCCCGTGGCATGCCAGGCGCCGCTTTGCTTCACGGCAAGCTCGTGTCTCCACAAACCGACGGTTGTCAAACGACCGTAGTCGCAGTTTAGTGGATTCTGTTAAATCGGAAATGATGACTAAAAGTTTGTACTCAATGTAATAATGATTGTCATTGTGATTGTCAAAGGATTAATATACTCACTCACTTTCTCTAGTGATGCCAATGTTATCTCATGATCGATTACGAAACTACATTATATATTGATGTGAGGTTTTGACAGGTTAATGAAGAATTTCGTATCCCTTGAAAGACATGACACATTTTAGTGGGGAGGAGATGAGTTTTATAGGCCAGGGATAACAACGCTGGACAATCTGTATTAAAGTCAAAGGAGTTGAAATTGAAACGTGTGAATAATTTTGATTATAAACGATTTTTCATAGAAAGCGACAAACTTGTCATTTTAACTACATGCTGTGGATCAAGTTTTGTGCCGCAGCTTGCCTCTATATATCACGTCAACTTTTCTAAACCCTCACCCAGACATGATAAATCTACTGTTATATTTTCTTAAATTACTTTTACTCACATGGAAGTGAACTTTTCGCATAAAGCACTGGTTTTATTTCAACCTTATAGAACTGATGGATGTGTTGTTCAATGAACTACCTAGCTAATTTTCAATTTGATATGTCAAAAACTGTCTGTCACTATTAGGTCATAAATATACTATCACAAAATATGCTTACCTCGTAGGTTCTTGTAGCGACTGTCATATCTTGGCTCTGGAAAGAGGAAAAACGTTTGGAAGCAAGAGACTTTTGAAATTGATACACTGTAGGAATAACCTCACCTTGCGGTTCGTCCATGAATCTACATGCAAACTTTAATGGCATACTCAACTCATCAAGGGACTAATGAGTGTGCATGAGTGAGTTGGGTTTAATGCCGCTTTTAACATTATTTCAGTCATATCGAGCCGAGTCAGCTTTATGTGGGAGGAAAGCCCGAAGTGATAAAAAGAAACTACACGTATACACAGCAACTTATCAAAATTACACGTATACTCAGCAACTTATCAAAAATAAACTACATGTATACTCAGCAACTTATCAAAAATAAACTACACATATACTCAGCAACTTATCACAGAAACTAGACGTATACTCCACAACTTATCAAAGAAACTACACCTTTACTCAGCAACTCATCAAAGAAACTACACGTACACTCAGCAACTTATCAAAGGAAACTACACATTTACTCAGCAACTTATCAAAGAAACTACATACATACTCAGCAACTCATCCAAAATAAATTACACGTATACTCAGCAACTTATCAAAAATAAACTACATGTATACTCAGCAACTTATCAAAAATAAACTACACATATACTCAGCAACTTATCACAGAAACTAGACGTATACTCCACAACTTATCAAAGAAACTACACCTTTACTCAGCAACTCATCAAAGAAACTACACGTACACTCAGCAACTTATCAAAAGAAACTACACATTTACTCAGCAACTTATCAAAGAAACTACACACATACTCAGCAACTCATCCAAAATAAACTACACGTATACTCCAAAACTTATCTCAGAGAGTACAGGTATACTCAGCAACTTATCAAAAGAAACTACACGTATACTCAGCAACTTATCAAAGAAACTACACGTATACTCAGCAACTTATCAAAAGAAACTACACGTATACTCAGCAACTTATCAAAGAAACTACACATATATCTACATAGCGACACATCACATGTGCTACACGCATACTCAGCAACTCATCAAAAATAAACTACACATATACTCAGCAACTTATCAAAGAAACTACACACATACTCAGCAACTCATCCAAAATAAACTACACGTATACTCCGAAACTTATCACAGAGAGTACAGGTATACTCAGCAACTTATCAAAAGAAACTACACACATACTCAGCAACTTATCAAAGAAACTACACATATACTCAGCAACTTATCAAAAGAAACTACACGTATACTCAGCAACTTATCAAAGAAACTACACGTATACTCAGCATCTTATCAAAAATAAACTACACGTATACTCAGCAACTTATCAAAAATAAATTACACGTATACTCAGCAACTTATCACGGAAACTACACATATTCCCAGCAACTTATCAAAGGAACTACACATACACTCAGCAACTCAATTTTGTTTTACATATACTCAGCAACTCATCAAAGAAACAACACGTACACTCAGCAACTCCTCAAAGAAACTACACGTACACTCAGCAACTCATCAAAGAAACTACACGTACAATCAGCAACTCATCAAAGAAACTACACGTACTCTCAGAAACTCATCAAAGAAACTACACGTATACTCAGCAACTCATCAAAGAAACTACACGTACACTCAGCAACTCATCAAAGAAACTACACGTATACCCAGCAACTTATCAAAACTACACGTATACTCAGCAACTTATCAAAATAAACTACACGCGTACGTATACCCAGCAACTTATCAAAATTACACGTATACTCCGCAACTTATCAAAAATAAACTACATGTATACTCAGCAACTTATCAAAAATAAACTACACATATACTCAGCAACTTATCACAGAAACTAGACGTATACTCCACAACTTATCAAAGAAACTACACCTTTACTCAGCAACTCATCAAAGAAACTACACGTACACTCAGCAGCTTATCAAGAGAAATTACACATTTACTCAGCAACTCATCAAAGAAACTACACATATATCTACATAGCAACACATCACATGTGCTACACGCATACTCAGCAACTCATCAAAAATGAACTACACATATACTCAGCAACTTATCAAAGAAACTACACACATACTCAGCAACTCATCCAAAATAAACTACATTTGTACTCCGAAACTTATCACAGAAACTACACGTATACTCAGCAACTTATCAAAAGAAACTACACGTATACTCAGCAACTTATCAAAGAAACTACACGTATACCTAGCAACTTATCAAAAGAAACTACACGTATACTCAGCAACTTATCAAAATTACACGTATACTCAGCAACTTATCAAAAATAAACTACACGTATACACAGCAACTTATCAAAACTACACGTATACCCAGCAACTTATCAAAATTACACGTATAATCAGCAACTTATCAAAAATATACTACATGTATACTCAGCAACTTATCAAAAATAAACTACACATATACATATACAACACGAACACTCAGCAACTCCTCAAAGAAACTACACGTACACTCAGCAACTCATCAAAGAAACTACACGTACACTCAGCAACTCATCAAAGAAACTACACGTACAATCAGCAACTCATCAAAGAAACTACACGTATACTCAGAAACTCATCAAAGAAACTACACGTATACTCAGCAACTCATCAAAGAAACTACACGTACACTCAGCAACTCATCAAAGAAACTACACGTATACCCAGCAACTTATCAAAACTACACGTATACTCAGCAACTTATCAAAATAAACTACACGCGTACGTATACCCAGCAACTTATCAAAATTACACGTATACTCAGCAACTTATCAAAAATAAACTACATGTATACTCAGCAACTTATCAAAAATAAACTACACATATACTCAGCAACTTATCACAGAAACTAGACGTATACTCCACAACTTATCAAAGAAACTACACCTTTACTCAGCAACTCATCAAAGAAACTACACGTACACTCAGCAGCTTATCAAGAGAAATTACACATTTACTCAGCAACTCATCAAAGAAACTACACATATATCTACATAGCGACACATCACATGTGCTACACGCATACTCAGCAACTCATCAAAAATAAACTACACATATACTCAGCAACTTATCAAAGAAACTACACACATACTCAGCAACTCATCCAAAATAAACTACACGTATACTCCGAAACTTATCACAGAAACTACACGTATACTCAGCAACTTATCAAAAGAAACTACACGTATACTCAGCAACTTATCAAAGAAACTACACTTATACTCAGCAACTTATCAAAAGAAACTACACGTATACTCAGCAACTCATCAAAGAAACTACACATATATCTACATAGCGACACATCACATGTGCTACACGCATACTCAGCAACTTATCAAAAATATACTACATGTATACTCAGCAACTTATCAAAAATAAACTACACATATACTCAGCAACTCATCAAAGAAACAACACGTACACTCAGCAACTCCTCAAAGAAACTACACGTACACTCAGCAACTCATCAAAGAAACTACACGTACACTCAGCAACTCATCAAAGAAACTACACGTTTACCCAGCAACTTATCAAAACTACACGTATACTCAGCAACTTATCAAAAGAAACTACACGTATAATCAGCAGCTTATCAAAAATTACACGTATACTCAGCAACTCATCAAAGAAACTACACATATATCTACATAGCGACACATCACGTGTGCTACACACATACTCAGCAACTCATCAAAAATAAACTACACATATACTCAGCAACTTATCAAAGAAACTACACACATACTCAGCTACCAAAATAAACTACATGTATACTCCGAAACTTATCATAGAGAGTACACGTATACTCAGCAACTTATCAAAAGAAACTGCACGTATACTTAACAACTCATCACAGAAACTACACATATACTCATCAACTCATCAAAGAAACTACACGTATATTCTGCAACTTATCAAAGGAAACTACACGTATACCCAGCAACTTATCAAATAAATTACACGTATACGCAGCAACTTATCAAAGAAACTACACATATACTCAGCAACTCATCAAAGAAACTACACGTATACTCTGCAACTTATCACAGAATCTACACATATACCCAGCAACTTATCAAAGAAATTACACGTATATTCAGCAACTTATTAAAGAAACTACACGTATTCTCAGCAACTTATCAAAAGAAACTACAAGTATACTCAGCAACTTATCAAAGAAACTACACGTATACTCAGCATCTTATCAAAAATAAACTACACGTATACTCAGCAACTTATCAAAAATAAACTACACGCATACTCAGCAACTTATCACAGAAACTACACATATTCCCAGCAACTTATCAAAGAAACTACACGTATACTCAGAAGCATATCAAAAGAAACTACACGTATTCTCAGCAACTTATCAAAGAAACTACACGTTTACTCAGCAACTTATCAAAGAAACTACATATATACTGAGCATCTTATCAAAAATAAACTACACATATACCCAGGAACTTATCACAGAAACTACACATATACCCAGCAACTTATCAAAAGAAACTACACGTATACCCAGCAACTTATCAAAACTACATGTATTCTCAGCAACTTATCAAAAGAAACTACACGCATACTCAGCAACTTATCAAATAAAACTACACGCATACCCAGCAACTTATCAAAAGAAACTACACGTATACCCAGCAACTTATCAAAATTACACGTATACTTAGCAACTTATAAAAAGAAACTACACGTATACCCAGCAACTAATCAAAATTACACGTATACTCAGCAACTCATCAAAAGAAACTGCACGTATACCCAGCAACTTATCAAAGAAATTACACGTATACTCAGCAACTTATGAAAGAAACTTATCAAAAGAAACTACACATAAACTCCACAACTTATCAAAGGAACTACACATACACTCAGCAACTCAAAGAAATTTTACATATACTCAGCAACTCATCAAAGAAACTACACGTACACTCAGCAACTCATCAAAGAAACTACACGTACATTCAACAAATCATCAAAGAAACTACACGTACACTCAGCAACTCATCAAAGAAACTACACGTACACTCAGCAACTCATCAAAGAAACTACACGTATACTCTGCAACTTATCAAAGGAACTAAACGTATACTCAACTAGTATGGGTGAGTGAGTGGGTGAGTGAGTAAGGTTTTTACGCCATTTTTCAGCAATATTCCAGTAATATTCCGGCAATATCACGGCGGGGGACACCAGAAATGGGCTTCACACATTATACCCATGTCGGGAATCGAACCCTTTACGTGCGAACGCTTTAACCATGAACTGTGTCATTAAAGGAATGACACATATACTCAGTGACACGTCAAGGGATATAAACGTAAACTCAACTGGCGATTCATTAAAGGAACGACACGTATATTCAGTGACTCATCGATCGTATGACACGTTTACTCAACCATCAACTCATTGAAGGAATGACACATATACTCAACTAGCGAATCATTCAAACAACAACATGTATACTCAGCGACTCATCAAAGGAATCAAACATTTACACGTAGAGAACTGCATGTATACTTACCTATGTTCACATGGTAACAAATGAAGGGAAATATATGTTAACCTACATTGAAAGATCACATTGACACACGTACCGAAATCGCAGAATCATATGCGTACATCAATGAAAGTGACTGACTTCGCATGCTCACGTGAACCTGATTATTTGATCACATGGGAACTCATAAAGGAATCTAGAGAAACACTTACCTCACATGATCACATGGACCCTCATCTTGGGAATACATGAACACTTACCTCACATGATCACATGGACACTCATCTAGAGAATAACAGGAACACTTACCTCACATCATCACATGGACGTTCATCAAGGGAATACAGGAACAATTTTCCTCACATAATCACATGGACACTCATCTAGAGAATAACAGGAACACTTACCTCACATGATCACGTGGACGTTCATCAAGGGAATACAGGAACACTTACCTCACATGATCACATGGACACTCATCAAGGGAATACAGGAACACTTACATCACATGATCACATGGACGTTCATCAAGGGAATACAGGAACACTTACCTCACATGATCACATCGACACTCATCAAGGGAATACAGGAACACTTTTCTCACATGGTCACATGGACACTCATCTAGAGAATAACAGGAACACCTACCTCATATGATCACATGGACACTCATCTAGGGAACACAGGAACACTTACCTCACATGATCACATGGACACCCATTCAGAGAATAACAGGAACACTTACCTCACATGATCACATGGACACTCATCAAGGGAATACAGGAACACTTACCTCACATGATCACGTGGACGTTCATCAAGGGAATACAGGAACACTTACCTCTCATGATCACATGGACACTCATCAAGGAAAAACAGGAACACTTATCTCACATGATCACATGGACACTTATTCAGAGAATAACAGGAACACTTACCTCACATGATCACATGGACACTCATCAAGGGAATGCAGGAACACTTACCTTATATGATCACATGGACACTCATCAAGGGAATACAGGAACACTTACCTTAAATGATCACATGGACACTCATCTAGGGAATACAGGAACACTTACCTCACATGATTACATGGACACTCATTAAGGGCATACAGGAACACTTACCTCACATGATCACATGGACGTTCATCAAGGGAATACAGGAACACTTACCTTAGATGATCACATGGACACTCATCAAGGGACCACCTACCCTCAAATGACTACATTGACCCTCTGTAGAACTACACGCACAGTGATCTCACATGATATCCTCGATATTTATGCACTTAAACTCGGTAGATTATCCACAATAATGGCTTACCAGACTTCAAATTTGGTTGTTGTATGAACGAACAGTTTGTTGCATTTATGGTGATCTGTTCCCCTGTTCCGCCTGGTAGTTGCTGATCATGAGTCGTCAGTTCTCTGAAAGTATATCAATTAACTTTCACGAGGAATAATAGACATAAACATATGATTAGAGTGATGGGGACACTGTAATAATCCTATCAATGAAACATCAAAGATATGTGTTAAGGCAATGTGGATTTTATACATCGAATGTGCACATTAAAAGACCATAGAGTTGAAAATAAAGTCAGACTACGAAGAACCCGGAAGCGTGAAAAGAATGCATGGCGACGTTTTTTTCCTCTGCTTCATAAGGGGGGATGCTTATGGTATTAAGAATAGCCTGATCCCAGCAGAGTCCCTTGTGAAATAGTGTCCAAAATTATATCAACGTGATAAATAACTTTATTGCCTTGTACCTCATATGATGTTCGACCAAGGATTGCCTCTCCATCGTATGTTTATACGCTGACCTGTATGAAAAAGTGGTACTTATAAAAATACATAACAACACAAATTTGAATGCGATAACTTAATACATTCTAACAATCTAAACCAACCCTCCTTTATCACCCCAAACACACACAAACACACACAAACAAACAAACAAACAAACACACACAAATCAAATTAAAGCAGCACTCGAGAACCCACAACGACATGCACAACACACGGTATACAAGTACTAGCAACTCATCCTTGAACCGCACTACCTTGGCTCAAACTAATATACAAGTTGTCGATCTTGTATTTCTCAAAAACAAAACAAAGAAAAGACATATGTCAGCCGGACAGAGCACCTGCCTGGCAGACATATGGACATTCAATCTGATTGGATTTTAGATGTACTAGAGTTCACAAAACTTTACCATACCATTTGTGCCTTTAATATCAGGTCTAAAAACGTTTTATCTTTGAAAAGACTCATCTCCTGTGTATCTCCTCAAAATGTAAGAAAAGGCGGTTGCAACGATTCATTGATTTCGTTTCTTCACAGATTGCTATTTTCGTAAAATACGCTTCCTTCCGCTTTGGGTATTGTAAGCTTGTACAGCGCATTTAACTTGTGCCACGAGGTGGTGGATTTGTCCGCTTTTGGATATGATTTAGTTGGAATCGTGCCATGGTCTCTTATGATGGTTTTGTCGCTTATATTTACTTTGTTTTTGGTTTAACGACACACCTGGTAATGTTCAAGCTATAAGTCGTCTCTCTGTAAGTAATGCTTGATGTCATGAAAGTCTGTTGACATAAAATAAATTGCCCGTCTCCTTCCTTCACACAAGAAATTGTGTGTGTTGAAGCAGCGGCCGAAACAAGTGTTGAATCAGTTATAAATAGAACTCGATATCTAGACCATCAACGGTGTTCGTGTCATTGTGACTTGGTCGCTATCGATCGACGTACCTGACAACAGTCGAATGAGTGCATGACATGTTCGCCGCTATGTCACCTTATCATCTTAGCGGGGAATGAACGTGGTATAAAACTATTTTTCAACATTGGACTAATTGAGTGAGTTGGATAAAACGCCTCTTTTAACATTATTCCAGTTATATCACGGCGTGTCAGCTTAATGTGGGAGGAAAGCCCGAAGTGATGCAGTTCTCAGACGTTAACCACTTCGGTGAAACCTACGAGCACGGGTATGGTGCTGACAAACCTAGAAACATAATCGGGCCGAACCGGGATTCGAACCCACAATCATAGGTTTCTGGCGTGCCCAAGGGACGCAACTCTGCACAGCGAATCGCGGCGCCTTAGACGACTGGGCCACCCATGCCCCCCTAGTGGACTAACTCAGTGTGGACACCAGCTTCACGTTTATACCTCAATAAGTCAGTTCTTATCGATAAATGTCAATAATAATAACTTGACATACAGGTGATTGAATCATGAACATAAAATAACAAATCTTAAACAACGACATGAAATCAGTGACATCGTTCAAGCGACGAAAGTGACCTAATATTTTGTAGGTTAAAATTGTTGGTTTAAATACACGACCTTGAGACTGAAGAAACATATAACCGTTTTGCCGAAACATTACACGACATGAAACTGATAACATACACGTAGCAATCTCTCACCTTACAAAGCTGAAAATACTTCATTACTTCGGGATAGATCACTCTCAATATGTCGACCCGACCCAAAGCGAGGGTCAGTTTCAGCTTCTGTCACGTTGAATATACACGTATACTGATCAGTTTAGGCACGTTGTCAAATTGAAAAGCAACTCCCCAATTTGCCTGAGTCAATCACTCTATGTGGTCCTCTTGAATTCAAAGACTGCCAACACTGGCCCAACGGTAATATCGCGGACAGTCGGGTAGCTAGGGCTTTTTTAGGAGCAGATAAACAGAAGGATTGTCGACATGACGACGGTTGGCTCGTGTGAGAACATTCCACGTGGGAGACCTGACATTCGTTTAAATTAGAATGGATAAGGTCCCAAAACCTGCTTTACCACAGTGGCTATCACATTACTGTTTGATATGTGCGTTTAACAGTGTGCACAAAACCTCTTCCAGTAGCGTGTTGTAAGTGGGCGTTAAAGAGCTGTTTATAATTAGCAACATTCAAGATTTATTGTCTGGCTTGTTTACAGGCCGCCGTCGCAAGGCAGGAGTACCGAGGTGCGGCGTCAGGCAACTAGCAAACACTTACATATTTACGCCAATTGTGAGAGTGGGTACTACTGGTGAGTGAGTGTGTTAAAATTTTACGTCACATCGGCAATATTTCAGGCATATCATAACGAAAGATAGTTATATGCCAATAACTAAGATATATAGACTGTATAAAAACCTGTCAAGAAAGGACAGGTAAACAACCAGGCTATCAAAGATTTATATCTAATGACTAGTACGGAACCGCAAAAGAAATGTCACCATGGATAGATATATGAGAAACCCTATTTTACCAAACACTGTAAACATTCTTTGAGACATATTAAATAGATGAAACTTGACAAGACTGATCATCAAATGTTCTTAAAGTGAAACACAGCACTAGTCTCTGAGAAAATGGTATCACAAATCAGTATCTGACGCAGTTCAGCTGCAGTTGGCGGCCTTGGTCGGACGTCATTCAGTCGTCTTTGAATCTCGTCCCACAGTTGCTCAATGGGATTTAAATCGGGACTGAGGGCAGGCCCGTTCCATTCTGATGCCAATCTGCCGGAGGAAGTATGTTGTTGCTCTCGCAGTGTGGCCACGGGCATTATCATGCTGAAACTCGTGGTTGCGGCGACGTGTCAAACACTGGAATGAAGTATATTGTGTGGTCTCAAGACTTGATCAATGTACCGAGATGCAGTGATACCATTGAAATGTTTTGGCTCCTTGCCGGGCGCTTTGTCTAGCTTACAATCGCCCAAAGGCTTGTTGTCGCTGATTTCTTGTCAATCTTAGCATGTGGTAGCAATTCAATAACGAATGAATGTTATCCGATCTGGGTGGATTTTTATAGGGCAAGAAATGGGGGAACGCACGCCATTTCAATTTGCTCACGTGCATCGGGTTACCATGGCCGTTGCCTTGATGCGTTTAGGCGATCTGTTTTATTGTCATCTGCTTTGGGTGTTTTATCTTTAAATTTCATTTTTCAGGACAAGGTAATGTTAAATTTTAGAAACTTTGACAAAAATTACCCAGATATTTAAATGACAACTTTTCATGCAATGTTACTTGGGGTGACATTTCTTTTGCGGTTCAGTATAGAATGGAACTATTAATAGCTATGACGATACATTATAATACATTATAAAAACGGGCTATAAATCGCCGCCATACTAGCGTAGGCTTCAATCGCTTCTTCCTGATGTAAGAGTATGGAACCCCTCGGATATAAATATTTTCTTTTTTAGAAATGTATTTGCAAGCCATTCATTCTCATATGTTCATGATTTATGTACAAAATATATTTTTTGAAATAAGATATATAAATTAAATGAAGACTGACAATACAAAGATGTTTTTAATTCATTTCAACAATGATTTTCTGACATATTCAGGATAAGGTGCCGTAAAAGGTGACTATGCTTGTCGTAAAAGGCGACTAACGCGATCGGGTTGACAGGCTCGCTGACTTGGTTGATGCATGTCATCGATTCCAATTGCATGGATCGATGTTCATGATATCAATCACTAGATTGTCTGGTCCAGACTCGATTATTTACAGACCGCCGTCATATAGCTGGAATATTGCTGAGTGCGGCGTTAAACAACAATCTAACCAACCAACCTAGGTCGTATGGACCGTTGCTTACAATATCAATTACTGGCATGGTTTGACTGGTCAAGTCTCATTTATGTACCCGCAGCTGTTAAAGAACAAATATGCTTTAATATTCAAGCTTCGTCCAAAGTTAAGGTATTAAAAAATAACAATTACAACTTTTTGAGTGTTATACACAGGGATATTACACTGAATGTCAGTTTTGGAAAGCAAGGTCTAGTTATAGCTCAATGAACGGATGCCGCAGTCAAGTGACCCTCTACATGAATGTAAAAAAGTGTTCATTTGAATCTGTCATCTAACTTAGCCCTACAAGTAGAAACACCAACATATATATCACATTTCGGTTATCAGTATACACTGCGATGTGGATGTGACAATCTACATTTATTCCAGTTTTTAAACAAATTTAATTTAAATACTCGGTACCCATATCCTGACGCGAATTCTGATTGCCTTCCACCGTTTCGACACATGGTGGCCCATTCGTCACCACTTGCCCCTTTCCGTTACCTGCTGGAAGACTCGTCCCCCTATCGATGAATGTTATGTGGGAAAATACGACAGAATAATCAGAATGCGCGTATGATTTCAAGTTCTTCGTCAAAGAATCCCTCAGAAATAATTTTTGATTTTACATAAATTATGTCTTGCATCTAAAAATGTACCAAAGACACAGTTAAATGTGTTCAATCATACTACATAATTCCGCACGTCCCGATGTGCTTTAAGTTGCATCTGAAATATATTTAATATATGGGGAAATGTGTGAACCATTACGCAACGAGTTGACAATTCTTTTAGGTATGCCCGTTTGCGATAAGACGGAACCCGGTCGCTAAAATGGCCACGCAATGAGCACGAGTCGCTATTCGGCTTGTCCCGGAATAACACGAGTTGGTCACGAATGATGGTGGCCTTCGAGATAGGGAAAAGATTTCGTGTAAGTTACGGAAAGGCGCGAGTGACGAATGCTGCAGACGACGAATCGACAGGTAAACATGACACATCCATCTAGCAGGACACAGTAAAGGAATCGGCAATGTAACTTCACTTCAAGTGACCTGACACACGTGGCCGATGAGGTCAGGTGTCATATTCATATGTTGTTCGGTTCATAATCCGGTATCCATCACAAATCAATCAAAACCGAGGTACACATGTAGCAGGATGTAACAGCCGCAAAGTAAGTTTCGACATCTATTAGCCAAGATTATGTGACATCGTAACTGTGTAAATGGCTGCACGTTCTGTCATTTTGTTATTTGAAATCATTTATGAAATGATTGTTGTTATTTCATTGTTTTACGCCGCATTCAACAATATTCCAGCTATATGACGGCGGTATGTAAATAACCTAGTCCGGACCAAACAATCCAGTGATTGATATCATGAGCATCGCTCCACGCAATAGGGATCAATGTCAAGCTTCAACCAAGTCAGCGAGCCTAACCACCCGATCCCGTTAGTCACCTTTTACGACAAGTATGGGTTGCTGAAGACCTATTCTAACCCTGATCTTCACATGTCGACTTGATTTTAAGCCAAATTAGCAACATTCCAGCACAGACCCACAAATGATTGGTTGTTGGTTGGTTGTTTAACGCCGCACTCAGCAATATTCCAGCTATGTGACGGCAGTCTGTAAATAATCGAGTCTGGACCAGACAATCCAGTGATTGGTATCATGAGCATCGATCTAAGCAATTGGGATCGATGACATGCATTAACCAAGTCAGCGAGCCGGACCACCCGATCCCGTTTGTCGCCTTTCACGACAAGCACAGTCGCCTTTTGCGGCAAGCATGGGTTGCTGAAGATCTATTCTACCCGGGATCTTCACGGGTCGATAAACTTCTAAGAGTTCTTTGAGTTCAGTGTTTGTTTTTTGTTTATCAAATATCTCGGCTTATCAATCAGCTGTTAATGTATTCAATGCCCTCAGTTTTGAGGTTTTTGCTGATTTGAAATTTTCACTTGAAGCCAATCGGCGAAGAGAACGTCATCAGGTCTCTGCATAGATTATCAAGTACAAACTAAAATGTCTTCCGTTTTGATGAAGAAGAAATGTCGATCTTCCCCTGATTGATAATATGATGAAATGAAGTATTCCTTAAAAATTACAAGTGAACGACTAATGTTCAAAAGATAAATACATATTTGTATCTCTTGTTTCCTAAAATGTGACCAGGCGATTCGAGCGGAGATAGCACATGCATATGTGAGGTGTCGCCGACACTGACTGTCACATTGTGCATTGGCGATGTCAGACAGCTGTTAATTTTCAAAGAACTTGTGAAATGATATTAATAATCAACCACACAATAACATCTATTTTTTAAACACAAAGCCGATGTTTATAATTTTTTTTTCAAATTTACCTGCTGATTACCGGAAATTCCTGTTTGGTACCCGTGAAGATCCGGGGCAGAATAGATCTTCAGCAACCGATGTTTGCCGTAAAAGGCGACAAACGGGATTGGGTGGTCAGGCTCGCTGAATTGGTTGATGCATGTTATCGATCCCAAATGTGTGGGTCGATGCTCATGATATCAATCACTGGATTGTCTGGTCCAGACTCGACTATTTACAGACCGCCGTCATATAGCTGTAAGTAATCGAGTCTGGACCAGAATATCCAATAACTTTCACCAGCATCGATCTACGCTACTGGAATATGATGACAAGTCAGCCATCCTGACCACACAATCCCGTTAGTCGCCTTTAACGACAAGCATCAATATTTAGCTTTTACGACAAGCATTAAACATGATAAACGAGAAATCTTCTGAAACTGGAATAAACGAACAGTCATTCTGGGATTATGAATGAATGTCCCATCAATCTATCACTTGAATTTTATTATCTTCACTTTTCAAGGATAGAGATTTCAGTGAAATTGGGAATCTGGAGACTCGTACTCATCTCCGCTCTTGACGTCTTCCAGCGCGACCTCAGGGTCATTCATTTACGGCGTCGAACTCCACGCACAGAATATCCTACTTTTGTTGATTGGCTTCAAGCTCCCCAGGTGTCGGCTCATCAAATCCATCAAATGGGTCATCGGAGTCTGAGTCGTTTGCGAAGAGAATGGCATCCTCGGCCCTATCCAATGAGTTGCTGATTCCCCATTTAAGGAATGATTTCCGGACTATGTCTGGAGACACAGAACTCAACGCCTGATTGATCCATTTAAGGACCGAGGTTTTTGGGGGGGGCTTGGCATTGAGAAGCCAGTCGTCGTACTGGTCTCTTTGGCATCTTTGAATGGCTTGTTCCACGACACATCGCACGGTTGGATGCGGCACCCAACGGGGATTAGAGCAAAAGCGCTGTGGTAATCACGTGACAAGAATTTCTTTATGGCGGGGGAAGGATGTGCTGTGAAAGAATCCCAAACAAGAAGCCTACGAGTTTTAGCATTTTGTCGCCAAATACGGTGCAACCAAATTGCATTACAGCCTCATTGGCCCAAGTTTTGGGTGTAATCATGACGCCAACGCCAACAGGGACGTCTCTGATGGAACGAACACCTTTCAACAGGACAAGTGGAGGCATTTTAGTACCATCCGCATATGCAGCCAACCAAAGAGTCTAGATTTTTCATGTCCTGTGCTTGTCATGGTAATGGTTTCAGATCCTGTTTCCTCCAAAGTTGAACTGCCAGGCATATCGGCCCACACCGGGGTTTCACCCATGTTTGCGATTGCATGTTTGACGTAGCTAAGAAATGACATCTTGTCACTCAGCTTCACTTTTTTACCTACATGTGTCGCTCTACGGAAGTTGATTTTATTTCTCTTCATGAAAGATCTCAACCATCCATAACTTGATTTAACGATTGCTTTCCACCGTCCCTGTGCAAACGTAATGCCTCTTGCTTTAATGCTTTTCCTGTAACACATGTGCCTTTATTTCGACGATCTCTCTAGTACCTTATTTTCAATGTCAGGGAAGTTTATTTTTCGCCGAGCCCCAGATCGATTTTGCGTTTGGCTTTGTCACCCATAGTTTGCAATTCTTGCTTCTGTTTCAGCCATTCTCGCACACGCTCTCTGTTGACGCCAAAATGTTTTGCTGTCTATGTATTGTTAGACTTTTCATCAAACTGTATCACTTTTAAAGTCTCTTCCCTTTGTTTGTTCGTTGTTTAACGCCACACTCAGCAATATTCCAGCTATATGACGGCGGTCTGTAAATAATCGAGTCTGGACCAGACAATCCAGTGATTGATATCATGAGCATCGATCCATGCAATTGAGAAACGATGACATGCATCAATCCAAATCAGCGAGCCTGACCAACCGACAAAAGCATAGTCGCCTTTTACGTCATGCTAAGCAGTTGCTATATTTTGCTAAGGAGTTGCTAAAATTTACTAAGCAACTGCGTAGCATGACGATCGTTTGTGCGCATCGTCATTTTTACATAAAATATTCCCCCCGTAGTAGCAATATATGTATATAAATCTGGCTCCAGTGGAGTTGCGGCAGAACCATCATTACTTATACTACTCATCAAGCATGGCGGTGTGATCACTTGTGTCATCACCGATCAAAAATATCAACATTCAGAGATTGCAGGAGGCCTCGAGATACTGTGCCAACTACGCTGCTTAGGTTCGCCAAGCACCTCAAAAATGAGGGCATTGAATACATTAACAGCTGATTGACAAGCCGAGATGTTTGAGAAACAAAAGACCAAACACTGAACTCAAAGAACTCTATAAGTTTATGGACCCTTGAAGGTCCGGGGTAGAATAGGTCTTCAGCAACCCATACTTGCCGTAAAAGGTGACTAACGAGATCGGGTGGTCAGGCTCGCTGACTTGGTTAATGCATGTCATCGGTCCCATTTGCGTGGATCGATGCTCATAATTTCAATCACTGGATTGTCTGGTCCAGACTCGATTATTTACAGACCGCCGCCATATAGCTGGAATATTGCTGAGTGCGACGTTAAACAACAAACAAAAAAACAAACCATATCCTTCATGGCTCGACCCTCAAGACATGGCAGTTCAAATTCACAGACAGAAACCACACGTTTGTTTGTTTGTTGTTTACGCCGCACTCAGCAACTCACATTATCTGAGATCATTACGTTATGTTTTAATTTTCCAGTATGTGAAATCGTAACCGCATTTCATTAAAATATATGTGTTTTCTTTGCATCAGGTTGCTGAAGACCTTATCTTTGCCCGGATCTTCACGGGATGCTAGCTACAGTGAGGAGAATTCGTAAGATATTCTTCAGCATGAGTTCTGCCGCGCCGAGTTTCCTGAAACAGAAATTGTTGGGAATATACCACCTAAAAATTGACGTGAGTACCAGGTGGACTTTTACACAAAACATGCTTTTAAAGATATTCAGAACAACTGCCACCAGTGTCAATCTCATTAAAATCAGATCTTAGTTTTCGCTACCGCTAACCAAAGATCTGAGGACATCCAATTACGGGTCACGTCAGAACGACCTTTCGAAAACATTGACCGACCAATGAAATGACTGACAAGAAATCGACATTTGCCAATCAGAAGGCAGCCATCTTGAGTTTTACGGCATTAGTTTCAAACTGGCGACTACGCTTCGAAACATATTTTGACGTATTCTCGATTTAAAAAATGAAAACTGACCAAAACAACATTCTGGAATGGCTTACAGATGGCCTAGATTGTATGGGTATAATCATAAAACCCGTAACTGTCGTTCGGAATACCCTCTGTTAAATATTTCGTGGTTGCATGATTAGAAAACACATTCGGACTGTCACTTTCAGGATGGGGTAAGCGACGCCCTGATTGGTTGGATGTAAGGTCGTGCTGACGTGACCCGTAATGGGATGTCCTCAGATCTTTGTATAGCGGCAACGAGAACTTAGATCTGATTTTAATGCGATTGTCACCAGTGTATGCAGTACATTTCATGACGAAGGATTTTCGAAAAAGAAACCAACAGACATCTCCGCGGTCACAGACACTGACTTTGTTAAAATCAGAAGCCATTATGAAGGCACTGAGTCAGGGGAAGGTCACAATACAACTCAGTGCACTGAATCGGAACTCTTTTTCTCTTTTTCAGTTTGTGCATTCTACCAATGACAACAGGACGAAATGACTTTACCCACTCTGCTCAGGAAAACAAGTTCATATTTTATTTAAGCTTAATTCTTTTGAACCTTTCAGCAGTGTTTAGTTCGACAATGTTTATTAAGTTGTACACGAGCATCAGTGAGCAAAGGAGTGGTGGTGTTTATATCATCTTTCAAGCATTCCCACGAAGCGACACAAATAGTGTGTCTCGCACCGTATACCCTTGTGACAGATCTGAAGAGTGGGTGAATGTGGATTTTCGCCGCTTTCAGCAATAATCCAGCAATATCACGACGGGGACACCAGAAATGGGCTTCAAACATTGTACCCACATGGTTGTTCAATTCACAGATAGAAACCCCACATATATTGTTTGTTTGTTTGTTGTTTAACGCCGCACTCAACAATATTCCAGCTATAAATAATATCTATATAATATCTATAAATAATATAAATAATCGAGTCTGGATCAGACAATCCAGTGATTGATGTCAATCCATCGATCCACGTAATTGGGATACTATGGTGTGTATCAAACAAGTCACCGAGCCTGACCACCCGATCCTGTTAGTCGCCTCTCACGTGGGGTAGCATGACATGAATGGTGACCACTGTGGACTAGCATGACATGAATGGTGACCACTCTGGACTAGCATGACATGAATGGTGACCACTCTGGACCAGCATGACATGAATGGTGACCACTCTGGACTAGCATGACATGAATGGTGACCACTCTGGACTAGCATGACATGAATGGTGACCACTCTGGACCAGCATGACATGAATGGTGACCACTCTGGACCAGCATGACATGAATGGTGACCACTCTGGACTAGCATGACATGAATGGTGACCACTCTGGACTAGCATGACATGAATGGTGACCACTCTGGATTAGCATGACATGAAGAGTCATTATAAAGCAGATCCGGGTCTTAGAATAGGTCTTCAGCAACCCATGCTTGCGACTATGCCTAAAAGGCAAAATAGTGTTGAAAATCATATGCCCTGCCGGTCGCACCGCGACCCACAAAATTTACACAAAATAGTAAGTGTTTGTTTGTTGCCTGGAGGCGGTATGCGACGCCGGTCTGTAAACAAACCGGACAGTCAAAGCCACACCACGTTATCCCGTACACACATCATCGGCGGACGCAGAACATGAAGTTGAACCGTTGGTCTTAGATGGAGACGCTAAACCTACTACAGGCAATGGCCTTTGTAAGTTTTGGTAAGTATGATATTTTATACTTATGAATCAAAAGGAAATAAATCATTTGTGACTTGTGCTCAACTAAGGTTTGGTGTGTGATTTATCCACATACATACCAACATATTTGTCTGGTTAACATAGACTAAGAATGGAAATTGGTAAAATCGGGATCTGTTCTTGTCCTAAAGCCCCCGTCAACATCTCTTTTAAGAACTGGACTTCAGCAACCCATGCTTGTCGTAAGAGACAACTAACGGGATCGGGTTGGCAGGTTCACTGACTTTGTGGATGCATGTCACCGTATCCAAAATGTGTTGTATCCCGATGATGCTTATGATGTCAATCACTGGATTGTCTGGTCCAGACTCGATTATTTACAGACCGCCGTCATATAGCTGAAATATAGCTTAGTGCGGCGGTAAACAACAAATAAACAATCGCTTCGAACACGACACTCCTGTATTGAATAACTAAAGAAACCATAATTTACTGTATATATTGTAATAATATGAATAATAATGGCGCTTTTCCATGCTGGATATCATCCTCAAAGAGCACCATCATTATCCCCGTCAATGGATCTGTGTGCACTAGAACTCCATTATCAGTTCATCCCGTGAAGATCCGGGGTAGGACTAACCTTCAGCAACCAATGCTTGTCGTAATAGGCGACTGGGTGGTCAGACTCGTTGACTTGGTTGATGCATGGCATCGTTTCCCAATCACAGGATTATGTGGTCCAGATTCGTTTATTTACAGACCGCCGTCATATAGGTAGAATATTGCCGAGTGTTGCGTTAAACCAAAAACAAACAAACAGCATCTTCCCGAAACAAGGGAGGTAACTGACTGAAAAATCCGGTTTCTACCCTTACGGAGCTAGGCTGCAATAATGGAGTTTTATTGTGGCTGGACTAACGAGTCTATGCACAGTCCAATCAAAACGCGTAACGAAAGGGACATCCGGGCCGTAAGCAACATGGATTTCAACGTGTTAATCTTTTCATGATATTAATCAAGGTGCTCACGTGATTTGATGCACTTCGCGAAAAAATACCTTACGATATATTTCTTGACCATCGATCAGATCGTCTTCATTGGGCGCCGTCATTTTTTTAAGTTGGTTGGTTTGTTGTTTAACGCCGCACTCAGCAATATTCCAGCTACAAGACGGCAGTCTGTAAATAATCGAGTCTGGATTGATATCATGAACATCGATCCACGCAATTGGAATCGATGACATGCATCAACCAAGTCTGCGAGCCTGACCACCCGATCCCGTTAGTCGCCTTTTCCGACAAGCATAGTCACCTTTTACGGCAAGTATGGGTTGCTGAAGACCTATTCTAACCCGGAATCTTCACGGGTCCATTTTTTTTAAGCAAATGCAAGTGATATATATAGGAGGAATCTGGTTGGTCAATAGGAGGGGCATAGAAAGGACATAACTCGTAATAGCCAACGGTGGCGCTACGATCAAGCCCAGAAATTCCAGCCTAGTTCAGCAAGGGTGGAAACTTTACAGTCAGGTAACTCCCTTGCCTCGGGAAGATGCCATGCTAGAGGAGGCGTCAACGTCAAACATATCCTTCAAATCTATTCTACGCGAACGTTTATTAACCTCGCCTGATTTATTACCTTGCACTGCACAAAGGATAAAATGCTACCCGACAGTCTGGGTAGATATCTGGCTTGTAGACGCCGCCATCAACAACTTTCCAGTTATATCGCGTTCGCCTGTAAATACTCAAATCTGGATTAGTAAAGAATATTGTGAACAACGGTCGAGGTATAAATACATGCAATCAACAAGGTCCCCGTTCTTGGCCTCTTGATCCATTAAGGGGATTATTCTAATCCGGAATCCTGCATCAATTTTGTATTTGTAAGTGTTGTAACCTATTCTAACCATCCATGGTATTTTCCCTTGCAATCACGGTCTATTTTACTAGTAAGATAATTACATAGCGCCCATTCCAAGACTGTGTTCAAAAGCTCTTTTAATCATAGGCAAACAGTTTGCGTCTTGAATGAGTTCAGATTGTAGTAAGTAAGTGAGTGAGTTGGGTTTAACGCCAATAAGAGTATTCCAGTTATATCGTGGTGTGTCAGCTTAATGTGGGAGGAAAGCCGATGCATGTTTCAGACGTTTAACCAGAAGCACGGGTATGGTGCTGAAAAACTGAGAAAAATAATCGGGGCGAACCGGGATTCGAACCCACAATCATAGGTTTCTGGCGTGCCCAAGGGACGCAACTCTGCACAGCGAATCGCGGCGCCTTAGACGACTGGGCCACCCGTGCCCTCAGTTCGGATTGTAACAGTTTCTGGTGACAATTGGATTCCACAGAACAGATACGGCTCATCTTCCTCGTGTATTTTTGCAGGCTTATGGCGAACCTCTTCTGGAGAGAGAACAATATCAACTGACGGTGACTGGGCTGTCGATTTCTCCTCAACAAGTGACATAGACGTGGCTGGGACAGAGTGGCAATACTTCAGTGTTCAATGTTGTAATGACGCCTTTGTGGTGCTGTTTTCACTCGACAAATCAAAGCAAGCAGAGGCAGGACTTGGGATAATTGGTAATGCAAAATCTTTCATGCGGTTATGCCAAGGTTGCCCTGAATACGGTTCTCCCTGCTACCCGTACTTGAGCTGCACCGAATACCGTCACTTCTGGATCAGCTGGATTGGCGGAACTTTAGAAGTAGGTCAAGGTCACTATGTTGGGGAGCAAGTTATGCTGTCTTCAGGTACCTATACTGCATGGTTAAACTTCAAGCCAATATTCATTGGATTCAAATCTGGACATGGTTCCTCTGGTAAATGGATGATTGGTAAGTTCATATAACAAACAGTAAGTTCTGCTCTCGTGGATTAAACCTCCGTCATATAGCTGGAATATTGCTGAGTGCGGCGTAAAACAACAAACCAATCTCGTGGATTATTGAAAACATTTACAGCACAGTATTAGAAAAGACATTATCATATCAGTTTCTTCATATATGACATAAAATAATTGTCCCCCTGGGAGGGTATGGAAGTAAGGTTATTTCCACTTATATTTTAATTGTAGAATATTTTTTCTTTTACTTTTTGCTTAACTTGACGACAATCGCCAGCAACTGGGGGGATGGTGTACAATCTGCTGTGGTACGATGGGCTTTATTTGGTTTCTGGTGATCTGTAGCCCGTTTGTATCATGTATTGTTATATATAAGATAGCTACACGATAAATCGGAAAGAACAATAAAGAACGAAGCGTGGTTTATTTCACGATAAAACATTGTTATAATTATGACGTTATTTCTGGTCATTCGGTCATTCGTCGTAAATTTGGACGGTTTTTTTTTTAGAGGGAATTGGGAAGTGAGTTGTTCCCTATGGATGTAGCTGGGCAACACAGAAAACGCAGTGGCCGAACGATCGTTTCCAAAATTGAGAGATATATGACAATCGGTATTGGGAGAAAAGGTCCAGATAATCGACGTGAAAATTGCGACAATATGCGGGAAAAAGCAAACCCTGTTCAAAAAATGGACTTGTCCGACATTGTCGCGTTCGGATTCCATTCAGGGTGTCATTATTATTTAAAAACGGCTAAATATTTATTTAAAGCGTGTACTTTTTAAAAAGATGCTATACATATGGAGATATCTCATATTATAAATAAGCGACTCATGGTCGCTGTTTATCGTCATGGTTTATTCTCCCTGCAGTGTTTTACTGTACGATAAACATTTTCCACTCGTCGTTTGTTTCCTAAGTAAAAGTGACATCTTCTTATGATTACATAATTGCTAAAAATATTTATCTGTGATAGTCTAGTTATTTAAGTGTCCTTTGTTGACAGATTTTTATGTACGTCAACTTATTATTCATGTATCACTTCTCGTCGCGAGATGGCTGAAAAATTGCCGATGTGACGCAAAATGTTAACTAACACACTCGCTTAATTCATTGTTTTTTATCGGCAGTTTTTTTGTATAGTATAACTGTTTATAGTCACGAAGTACTACCATACAGTCACTCACTGATATATGACCATTCACAATGTTGTCTCCTGTTTATCAGATGATAACCCACCGCATTCTGGATACTTCTTTGAGATGGCCTCGGAGAAGAACAAGATAATGACCCGCCCGCTTTTTCGTTCTTTGACCTCGAGAAGCAAGACCGACTGCGTTGCAATGTGTCAACGTCTTCGCATGTGCAAAAGTCTCACTTACAGAGGGTCCGACAAGACCTGCCATCAGCACACTGACATCCCCCGGGCGCATGACTTCGTCGGTGAAGATGGTTGGGTAACCTTGGTTCTTGATGAAACCAGTCCTTAAATTATGCAATGGAACTCCATAACACGTCTACGATAATATGTCTTTCTATTTTCTTTCTTTTCCACAGACATTTTGTTTTTTACGCCCAATGGAATATGTTTCATTATTGACACTGGTTATTCTCTGGCGTTGACATTGTGTTTTTGTTTGATTGTCGTCGCCTCGTCCGTCCGTTATCATTTTGTTTCCGGAGCACAACCTCGAAACCGTTGTTTATGTTTTGCAAAAGTTATCCAACTTTGGGGGCCTTTTCCCTAATGTATATGTACAGATATTGATTATACGGTTACGATTGTTGTATTTAATATGAATAGGATAAAACACGTCCGAGAGTTGTTATGATATTTAAAACCCGCATCCTAAGGGATTTTTCCGAGGGAAAGGGTTTTAAATAACATAACAACCCGAGGGGAAGTGTCTTTCTTATAAACCGATTTTGAACCTTAAAATTATCCCCAAACTAAATTTCAACCCATTATAAGTGTACAATAAAGCAAGTCCAAGGGGTCTTATCACATTTAAAACACGCACCCCAAAGATAACGGTTTTAGATATCATAAAACCCCGAGGGTAAGTGTTTTTATATAACTTATTAACCGAAAAAAGAAACTTAAAACAACATTTATCAACATTTTTATGTTTCGAATATTCTTTCCATGAACCTTAGGAAACAGGCGTAAAATATCTGTTGCTGGCGTACGGATCTTGAAAAGGACATTCTAAAAAGCAGTGCGGCCTATCAACGCCTCTGTAGCCTTGTGGTACACTCACTGGGCTACAGATATGAAGGTTGCGAGTTCGATGCTCGGGAGTATAAAGAAAACATTTGTCATTTCATTACATGTTACAATCTGAACGGAAGTTATATTTATAAAATATCCAGGACATTATATAAAATCCCTGGGACATTACAACACATTACATAGCAAATATAACTTGAATATCCTATAAAGTCACGGGAATATTACATAAAATCCCATGGTCATTACAACGTACAAGTTTATGAGATTTAACCCGACTGGAGAACATTAGGATGACGTCACCGGAGGTTGAAACGGTTCGGCAAACCTATTCCATGCCAACCAGGGAACGCCAAGGTTATTGCCTTATGTAAACGGTTTTCCATCAAACCAACACCATAGGGATACAGGAATGTTATACTCCGTCAAAACAATAGACACCACCAGATTGTCCCATGAGCCACCGACTTCGATTCTGGGCATACCACTCTAGGCAAGTTAATAATTAAAACTATACATTTGTAAAACATCATATGGGCAAGACCAGAACCAATTTGATATCAATCATGACGAACTCAGGGTAATGCCCTGGAAATAGGACAAGTAAAAAGACTGAACCGTGAAGAAAATTCTCTTCTTTGTTCAGACTTTCAGAGTGAGCAGACATGCGACAAAGAGGTCTTAGAGTTAAGGTTCAAGATTAGCATGATTTGCAATTAAGAATTGAACGTCAGTTTGGATGTGTTCATTGAAGTGTTAACCATTTAAAAGCGCTGGTTAAACTGTGTGAACCTCCGAGCTTGAATATTCAGCATCTTTATATCAATTATTAAAACAGCAGCAGTAGCAGAACGTGTCCTGTAGGTTTGTTGTTTTACGCGCACTCAGCAATATTCAAGCTATGTATATGACGGCGGTTGAAATGAAAACCATCAAGACCAGATTTTACAGATATTTACATCCAAACAGTCGTATGAATATGTTGATCAACTACAAACGTATGCTAACAGTTATAACGACACCTATCATAAAACCATTGGTATCGCTCCCTCTGAAGTGACCGTAAACAAAGAAACTGCTATCTGGTGGTGTATGTATTGGCCATAAAATAATATATTGGCCCAAGAAGAATGTAAAAGAAGTCACCACAAAAACCCTTCCAATATAAAGTGGGAGATCGAGTCAGGTTGACTCATCTCATTAAAATATTTTTCCCGAGAATACGATGAAGAATAGACAGATTTCTTTATAGATATTTTACCATATCTGAGTAAATACTACGAAGGGGTCTACCTGTCTACAGAATCAAAGATTACGATGGTGAAGACCGGGTGAAAAGGAACTAATCAACAATATTATCTGAAATGGCTACATTGAACTAAGAAATTAAATTCATGGATCAAAGCTTCTGATGTCAATGCATTGTAAATAAATGTATTGTACACGTAAAGGTAGACATAAGTTAGGCCCCGAATCTGTATACACCTGATATATATATTTCATGTATGCCTGAGCTGGAAGGTCCGCTCATCGCTGTGTTTGTGTTGTCAGAGCAGGTATTCCGCTCATTGTGCAATTGTTGTTTATTGTTTACATGTTGTGCATAAAGCGTTCCGGGACAGTGATGTCGATTTTGTCCTTTATTCCCCCAAGATCTAACTCCCCGTCAACATGCGCGTTGACAGAACAGTCGAGCATGCTCTTTCAAGGAAGATTTTTCAAAGAGCTTCTTACGACTTTTGCTCAAAAGCTATTTGATCAGGGTCTCAGTAAAGTTTTCCAACCGTTTTGTGGTAGACGTAAGTAGGACACTTCTAAATTTGACGCATCAAAAGCTATGTCCGATGCGAATTCCTATGTTTTGACTTGGACCATATTTTCCGGCGTTTTTTCAGTCGAACATTTGACCTCCTTTAGCATGTGTTTGTGACGGGTTCCACCAGTGGGGCAGGAGACGCTTCCTTTTTCGGCAACACCTGGTGTCATCATTATTTGATAATGATTAATAAGAGCATGCTCATGATATAGTCTGGATCGACCGCAGACATTTCTCGTCATTATGGAAATTGTTTAGCCACTTTTATTTACTGCATTGAGTTATATATAAAGGAAGAGCACAAATTGCAATTTTACTATTTGGATAGGAAAACATAAATATGATGCTAGACGTTCGTTATTTTAAGAGGTTCTCTACGAGTTCGGGGTGGTCTGGTCCCCTAGTGGTCAAAGTGTTCGCTCGTCACGCCGAAGACCTGGATTCGATTCCCGACATGGGTACAAAGTGTAAAGCCCATTTCTGGTGTCCCCTGTCGTGATATTTCTGGAATGTTGCTAAAAGCGGCGTAAAACCACACTCACTCACTCACTCTACCAAGTTCACCGTAAACCGTGAAATTCGGTGTGCTATGTCTTAACCCTGTAGCTACGCCGGAGGCCCAGGATAATTCCCAACTTGAGTTCTATGTGTGGAGCCAATTTCTTGTGTCCCCTGGCGTGATATTACTGGAACATTTCTAATAGCGCCGTAAAACCATACTCACTCACAAAACAACAAAGTTATGATCGTCTAGTTTTTAGCTACTACCGCTGCAGCTTATCCTACTAAACTGTTCACTATATACACATGTGTACATCTAAAGAATTCGAGCAATAAGGAAACCTGAAAGATGGATGGACGTATTTAGAACTACATATATTTCTACACATAATGATGGGCAAATTACATTCGATATGGCCATTTGTCAGTAACATCAATATCTCCTGAAATGCAACTTGTCATGGTTTTTTTTAAGTTGGTTGGTTTTTTGTTTAACGCCGCACTCAGCAATATTCCAGCTACAAGACGGCAGTCTGTACATAATCGAGTCTGGATTAATATCATGAGCATCGATCCACGCAATTGGGATACGATGATATGCATCAACCAAGTCAGCGAGCCTGACCACCCGATTCCGTTTGTCGCCTCTTACGACAAGCATAGTCGCCTTTTACAGCAATCATGGGTTGCTGAAGACCTATTCTACCCCGGATCTTCACGGGTCGTTTAGTTTTTTTAAGTATTCAGATTGCTAAATGGTATGTGATCATCACTAGATCTCCCCTGATTGTTTGTATCGTGTTTGCCTCTGTTGTGACAGTTGTTTAATTGAACATAGAGTCAGCCATCCTGGAAATAAAAGTGACAAAACCTTCACAATAATGATTTGAATTCTCTGATAAAAAGTAAAAGTTACTATATTACAGCCACGGTCAAGCAAGGAGAATAGTAGAATCTGTTAACCATGATGTATATAGAACTTATAATCCAAGTTATTAATAATACAATAATTTTATTTTTTTTCATCTACATAATTCATGACCAAATATATCCACAAATAAGTTGACAAATTTAACACATTTTTTTATGGAACCAATATAAATGATGTACAACGCTCGACAACAGATGAATAAATAAAGTATTTACAGTGTATGTAAACAAAGATTCCTTATGGATAATGTACCTGTATGTATCTACTGGACATAACTGATCAATTATGTATGGTACAACACAACCGTAACGGCGTTAAAAGGCAGAAAGACCTGACCGATATGGTGGCCTGTGCATCTGTGCAGACATGTATGACATGAAACAAAAGAAGGTTACTTTAAGGTTTAATGTCCACGATATGTATGTGTATATACAATGCATTCATATTCTCCCACAAAGAACAAGACAATAGTTTTTTCCCATTCTATCGAGTTTCATAATTTTCCGATATTGCTTTTGACGTTAAGTAATTCTCAAAGTTGGCTGGAAAGAAATGTTGACGAACAGTAAATGAAGTCAATGTCAGACATCTTTGTCTGAAAAAGATTATTCCAGACACATTAGGGGCCGACCATTTGACATATAAAAAAACTAACTATTCTTCAGAGTGTTGAAGAAAAAAAATTCCTGCACGGTGCGGTTTATAAAAAGGTCACGCTCACAGTTTTAAATAAAAAAATATCTGGTTTTGTAGCTGGAGCTGAAAAAGTATGGTTGGTCCCTTAATTTCAGAATTTTGTCTTTTTTCATCATTTACGGGAACAGGAAACGGTTGGCTCCTCCTCAGTATAAGGATTGATTGGTTGGTTGTTTTACGCCGCACTCAGCAATATTCCAGCTATATGACGGCGGTCTGTAAATAATCGAATCTGACCACCCGATCCCGTTAGTCGCCTCTCACGACAAGCATAGTCGCCTTTTATGGCAAGCATGGGTTGCTGAAGACCTAGCCATGATCTTCAGTGTCAGGAAGTAGGGTTGCATGTATATGACCAAAAACGTTGTGTACAGCCTTCAGTAAAACTCCCATGCGTCCTATAGTTACCTAGAACACCACTTGCTGATATGAATGTAAAAATACAGTATATAGAAGGGTAACGCGCATTGAACAGTGTCTATCACACTGTTCATCCATCGGGAGAGGGAACCAAGGTATCCACGTGTGTATACAGTTAACAGTAAAAGGCCTGAACTCTGACAGGATTGGTGTCACGGAGAAGGCATGCAGATAAGCATACACTATCTGGTCATGGCTATGGTTGGTTTGTTGTTTAACGCCGCACTCACCAATATTCCAGCTACATGACGGCGGTCTGTAAATAATCGAGTCTGGACCAGACAATCCAGTGATTGACATCATGAGCATCGATCCACGCAATTGGGATCGAGTTATTCCACTTGTATTAAAGAAGTTCAGATAGCGGGATCTCCGGACTTATAGGGTGTCGGACTTATAGGGTGTCGCTGACCATTGAAATAAAATTATCGGTTTATTTGGAATATGGAAAAGGTCTTTAGGTTTTTATGTATATTTGAGGTTCTAATTATTTTCTTTACTCCATTTACCAAAATATTTTATAAAACGATACAAAACATGAACATAAACTGCATCATTTAATGATGAATCAGCATCTTGTTTCGCTTGTTAAAAATCACTGAATCAAATATCTCTATATCAACATCACTGAAGGATATGTAAATCATTTGAGCAAATAAGGAAGAAGTAAGCATTAACGAAACTTGTCTGAGCCAATCGATGAGAAACATAATGCTGAATGAATTTGAAAGTTGTGATAGTATCTGTGTTAATTTCACAGAAAAAGAAAGTTGTATTTTTGGTATCAGAGGAAAACACACCCACGGCAGATCACATTCAAAAGACGTGTGTGTCGGAGATGTTTCCCACGTTCCGTCAACTTTGCATATAAATAAAAAAGATGTTATTTACAAAACGTGTAAAAATGATGAAATAAAACATTTCGAGCCCCAAATCACATATTAATCATAGTAACTGATGGCAAATAAGGTTATAGGCACGTCCCAATACATTTCGTACCATCAGCAGAGGCGGCAAAGCAGGTGATTACGCACTGCGACATTTGCCAATACACGCATCAGAATTTCCCTACATTACGAAATCTGTCTCTCCAATAATTTCATGTCATTGACCTGTCTCTCAAGATCTGCCTTTTTCGCTTTTATTCCCTCAAGCCAGGCTGTCTGGGCCTCATGGGCAGTTTTAAGTCCAGTGATCGTTGCAGTGAGCGATTCCCTGTTAAACTGACCCTTCAACCGATCAACTTGCGTCTTCAGAGACTCGATGGTCGCGATGTTGAGTCCCGGGATGTTCATGATGACGCCAAGTACTCTGCTGGCCTCGGCTTGGGTTCGAGCGACATCGGCGTTGACGTTTGTTGCACTGGTGGTGGCGTTGTTGATGACAGTGGTGGCGCTAGCAACGTCGGTTGTAGTGGAATCACACTTGCTTTTAGCTGGCATGAGAATGGTTGTGTTGATGGTGCTTGGAAGAAGAGACTTGTTCTGGTACATCCCCAGGTCGGACATGACTCCCAGTTGATTGGCTGTGGCCGCTACACTGGTGATGGCCTGTATCAGAGAGTGAAAAACGGTTGTAACCTGACATTTAATTTGAGAATTTACTTTCACTTTGTGTGACTGTAATTGAGTATGAACCTTCATAGAGCGAGGGCCAAACTGTATGAACGTATGAGCAGAGAACAACAAGTACCATTTTAACGTCTTTTGGTATGACAACGCAGGGGACCTTTCGCTCCTCGGACGGACGCTCTTCTACTAGACCACGGAGGCGGTCTATATGCAAAGGCGTTCACCATTAACTACCTAACAAGCTCTAGTAATCGAAGCCATGCATGTTGCTCCAACAAATATTCCCAAACCTTGAAAACTTTCAACCCAGAGCGTCCCAATGTGTGGGTGTTTATGTAAACAAACCTACTGCAAACCTACTACTTTGACACTTTTTTACGGTTTATACCTACGATTAATTTAAGAATATTATAATAAGATAAGTGAGTGAGTGAGTGAGTGAGTATGGTTTTACGCCGCTTTTAGCAATATTCAAGCAATATCACGGCGGGGGACACCAGAAATGGGCTTTACACATTGTACCCATGTCGGGAATCGAACCCGGGTCTTCGGCGTGACGAGCGAACGCTTTAACCACTAGGCTACCCGACCGCCCCGATAAGATAAGTACAACAGGGACGAAAGGTATGGTGTGACAGAGCACTGGGACATCCATGTCCTCTCACAACTGTATCATGGCAGGGTGTTGTTACCGATTTCATTACTCTGTAAAACCTATGGTTGATACCATGAGCTGTCGGGGTAGAGTGACATCAGCCAGGTAACTAATTGACACCACCCAATTCTCATTTCAGTTGGCTTCTTAGTTGGTTCTGAAACCCCACGTGGGGAGTTATGGATATTTTTAAATGATAACTCTATGTAAAATGAATCCTTGGAAATAAAAAGATAATAACATACAGTATTCTGGCTCTGGGCGACGGTTTTCGCCTGTCTTGCTGTATTAAGAGCCAGTGACGATGTCTGCTGCGATGAAGTCATCGTCGTCATCAGAGCAGCAGCGTCTTCGATAACCTTTTGACTCTCCGCCGTCACCGCCCTCGCACTGGCGAGAGACGTGTTTGCCTGCTGCTCGACCGCTGTAAGACACACATCAGACACAGGTAAACACAGGACGAGGCAGGAAACATGTATAAGACACATCGTGGCAGGGAAATTGGTATTCAAAATAATTGAGACACAGGTTAACACAGGACCAGGTAGGACACATGTTTACGACACATCATGACACGTAAATAGTTATTCAAAATAAAATCAGACAGGGGAGAACAAAGGACGAGTGAGTGAGTGAGGGAGGGAGGGAGGTTTTACGCCGCTTTCAGCAATATTCCAGCAATATCACGGCGGGGGACACCAGACATGGGCTTCACACGTTGTACCCATGTCGGGAATCGAACCTGGGTCTTCGGCGTGACGAGCGAAGGCTACCCGACCGCCCAAGGACAAGTATAAAGTACTCGGGACACATGTCTCCCACACATCGTGTCAGGGAAATAGTTAAAAAAATGTTTTCCTGTATTTGGTGAAACATAAACATAATGCAATACCAAGTGCCCTGGTTTCGAAGTTCATCATAGTGTCCCTCATCAACTCTGCCTCTTTGAACAGCTTCTCTGAGTTGAGCTTGGCGTCCTCGGCCATTCTCTCCGCCGCCGTCACCCGGGCGTTGATTTCGTCGCACTGCTTGATAATGTTGTTGGTGTTCATTCGCTGCTGCTCCGAGTTGCTGATGGCTATTGCTACTGCCGTCGCCTTATTGTCCACACCAGCTTTACCTGTCACAGCCTGTTGGCGTAAGGAAGAAACTGTTTTATCATAATACACTAAACGCTACTTGTTAATGACAACTAAGAGGTTTGTAATGATGGACTGCTTTATCATAATACACTAAACGCTACTTGTTAATGACAACTTACAGGTTTTGTAATGATTGACTGTTTCATCATAATACACTAAACGCTACTTGTTAATGACAACTAAGAGGTTTTGTAATGATGGACTGATTTATCATAATACACTAAACGCTACTTGTTAATGACAACTAAGAGGTTTTGTAATGATGGACTGATTTATCATAATACACTAAACGCTACTTGTTAATGCCAACTAACAGGTTTTGTAATGATTGACTGCGTTATCATAATACACAAAACGCTACTTGTTAATGACAACTAACAGGTTTGTAATGATTGACTGTTTCATCATAATACACTAAACGCTACTTGTTAAGGACAACTAAGAGGTTTTGTAATGATTGACTGATTTATCATAATACACTAAACGCTACTTGTTAATGACAACTAAGAGGTTTGTAATGATTGACTGCGTCATCATAATACACTAAACGCTACTTGTTAATGACAACTAACAGGTTTGTAATGATTGACTGCGTTATCATAATACACTAAACGCTACTTGTTAAGGACAACTAAGAGGTTTTGTAATGATGGACTGATTTATCATAATACACTAAACGCTACTTGTTAATGACAACTAACAGGTTTGTAATGATTGACTGCTTTATCATAATACACTAAACGCTACTTGTTCATGACAGCTAAGAGGTTTTGTAATGATGGACTGATTTATCATAATACACTAAACGCTACTTGTTAATGACAACTAACAGGTTTGTAATGATTGACTGATTTATCATAATACACTAAACGCTACTTGTTGATGACAACTAACGGGTTTGTAATGATTGACTGATTCATCATAATACACTAAACGCTACTTGGTAATGACAACTAACAGGTTTGTAATGATTGACTGATTCATCATAATACACTAAACGCTACTTGTTGATGACAACTAAGAGGTTTGTAATGATGGACTGTTTCATCATAATACACTAAACGCTACTTGTTAATGACAACTAAGAGGTTTTGTAATGATGGACTGATTCATCATAATACACTAAACGCTACTTGTTAATGACAACTAAGAGGTTTGTAATGATTGACTGTTTCATCATAATACACTAAACGCTACTTGTTAATGACAACTAAGAGGTTTTGTAATGATGGACTGTTTCATCATAATACACTAAACGCTACTTGTTAATGACAACTAAGAGGTTTTGTAATGATGGACTGATTTATCATAATGCACTAAACGCTACTTGTTAATGACAACTAAGAGGTTTTGTAATGATGGACTGATTTATCATAATACACTTAACGCTATTTGTTAATGACAACTAAGAGGTTTTGTAATGATGGACTGATTTATCATAATACACTAAACGCTACTTGTTAATGCCAACTAACAGGTTTTGTAATGATTGACTGCGTTATCATAATACACTAAACGCTACTTGTTAATGACAACTAACAGGTTTGTAATGATTGACTGTTTCATCATAATACACTAAACGCTACTTGTTAATGACAACTAACAGGTTTGTAATGATTGACTGCTTTATCATAATACACTAAACGCTACTTGTTAATGACAACTAAGAGGTTTTGTAATGATGGACTGATTTATCATAATACACTAAACGCTACTTGTTAATGACAACTAAGAGGTTTGTAATGATTGACTGCGTCATCATAATACACTAAACGCTACTTGTTAATGACAACTAAGAGGTTTGTAATGATTGACTGATTTATCATAATACACTAAACGCTACTTGTTGATGACAACTAACAGGTTTGTAATGATTGACTGATTCATCATAATGCACTAAACGCTACTTATTGATGAGGTTTGAGGTTTGTAATGGTGAACTGCTTGATCATAATATGTTTGTTTATTTGTTGTTTAACGCGGAGCAATATTCCAGCTATATGATGGCGGTCTGTCAATAATCGAGTCTGAAGCAGACAATCCAGGGCTGATAACCTCATACTGCTGCATATCTATTACATACCATTGCCTTGGTGGCCTCTAAAGTATTCCTGAAAGAGATGAAAGTCAAATTTTGTTCTTGTAGTTTCAGATCAAGGTTGTTGAATTGTATGCTTTCGCTCTGTAGGCGGTTAGCTGTAGCTAGCGTGGTGTTGCTCTTTGCTTGAATCCTTATTGCTTCAGCCAGGGCCGTCGTTGACACAGTTTCAAGGACTGAGTCGATGTTGTCGAGCCTGGTGATGTCGGTTGTGGTGTTCCGATGCAATATATTCAGATTGCCAGCGGTCTGCAACAGAAAGTATGTTTCACTACAGTTTCACGTTTCTTGTATCAATATATTTGTCAAAGGTGGGACCAATATTTGTTTTTGCTAATATTGGGCTTGTGGGGAGTCAAACACGTGATGAGTACACGCAATGGCCGCTGAACTACCCCTCTGTCAAAGCTGATGAAAACTACAGCACGCTAAAGATTACACCTCCTGATTTGTGAGTGGGAGAGTGGTTGTTGTTTGTTTGTTGTTTAACGCCGCACTCAGCAATATTTCAGCTACATGACGGCGGTCTGTAAAAAATCAAGTCTGGGCCAGACAATGCAGTGATTGATATCATGAGCATCGATCCACGCAATTAGGATACGATGACGTGCATCAGCCAAGTCAGCGAGCCTGACCGCCCGATCCCGTTAGTCGCCTCTTACGACAAGCATAGTCGCCTTTTACGGCAAGCATGGGTTGCTGAAGAACTATGGTGGTCAGGCTCGCTGACTTGGTTGATGCATGCCATCGTGAACAATCACCAATCAAAAGCGTGCACCATAATTAAGTAATTCGGAGTAAATAACTTGAAAACCAGAAAGTGGAGCTATGTGTAAGCGTCGCTGATCGAGGTAACATGTAAAAGATCAATCGTTAAACGAAATAAGATTTGAAACGTATCAAATACTTCAAGCTATCGTGATACAAATTTTCATCTGTCGGCGTAGCGTTTATATTTATAGGAACGTACTATATCTAAGTAAATACCACTTTATAATGTCACTGTTCATCGTATTTAAAGCAGACACGTTGGTTAAAGTAGACCTCTTCTCCCCATACTCTCAACAGTCTCACAAGTGTTCGGTCCGACTTGGCCCGGGCTGTCAAAATCAACTTAAAACTCACAGATGTAACATGAAATGGATTCACACCTATAGATTAGTATTATATCTACCAATATACCACTTTATAGTGTCTCAGATCGCGGTATTTAAAGAAACCAAGGTGCTCAAAGTGAAGCCCTTTTCCCTCTACATTCTCAACATAGTCTCTATCAGAAATGTTTGGCTTGTGTTGGGCTGTCAAGCCAAACACTTCTGGTAGAGACGATGTTGAGAATGTGGAGTGAAAAGGGCTTCACTTTGATGGTGACTCTTTGCCCGACCTGTAACACAAAGAAACTGTCAGCACCACTAATTTCTAATAACCTAATATCATAAGGATATATCTGCATTCAAAAAGAATTATTTATTTCTTAAGAAAGTAATTATTCTAAAAAAACGCAGTCCCATACATGTTTTGTTACTTTCTATTCTTTCCCAATCGCTGTTTAACAGTAACCCTTCCCTCTATATGTTGACATGTTAATTCAACAGTTTGTAACCATTAGTTTTACACACGCTATGCTTTCTCCTAAACTGCTACTAAGTGTTACTAAAACAGAAGAGTATTTTGATATAGAGCTTAAAAAATCCTACCTGGAAAATGGGCGAGCTGTGTTTAAGATCGTATCGCCACATTTCCTTTCGTTTTTCATAATAATATTTTTTTTAAGTTGTATGAATCCCTTCTCAGATTACTTTATCTCATTTCTATATGACGTGCTATTTTACTTCTCTGTGTTGTTCTTGTTTTCTCGTCAGTATGAGGTTATACTGTATCATTTTTACTATTTTGATATTTTGCAATATGTTGTGGTCATCAGTTATGCAAATCAGTTTCCATGTGTCTTTTTAACAAGGTGTTCTTCATTAAGATTCACCGCCAGCCCGATTGTAACAATTACATGTACACTTTGCTTTGACGATGCCGGTTGATGTTGTTCAATACAGGCTGGCGGTGGGTGTTTTGGAATCTATTCTACATGCTAATCATTTCGGGAAGATGATACACATTTCTCTATATTTTGGGTTACTTTGCTTATAAAATTTCCGATTATCATTCTTAGTTTTACTTTTTATCTTCTGCTGCGGTGATATCCATCCGAATCCAGGACCTTTGCATAGTCCAGATTTAAAGATTATACATCTAAACGTACGCAGTCTTAAAGACAAAGTAGTTTTAATCAGTGCTGAATTAGATAGTTATGATGTATGTTTAACAGAAACCTGGTTGCACCATGATATTCTAGCCACTGATATTACACAGATACCATTTTCAAATCGTAGCCTGTATTAAGGAATATATTTTAGATCTTAAATCAGAGTATAACGGACAGCCTGAGCTGGAGGCGCGCGTGGATATGTTGACAGTTTTTACGTAGTTAGTGTTCAAACCGAATGTTTGCGACGATTAATAAGATTTCTGAATTCAGTTACAACAGTAACCGTACATGTATTTGTTACATTAAGTCTTTCATTCAAATTTGTTTGGTATGATTATGTCTTATAACTATTTTAGGATGGAAGGTACAGTTACCAAATAAAATATGCTGAAATATCAATTCATTATGACCATATTTCATAATCTATTTTTCAAAGTAACCCTCCTTACATTAAAGATAACTATTTAAAGAATATAGTACTTAACGACATTGCAACAAACCGAATAATCAGGGGGGAGACTTTATACTGAGGGGGGCGCGAAATATATCCGCCCGGAGCAGATTTTATTTCAGAACAGATTCTCCAGGGGAGAATCTGTACCGGTATAAAATCTCCGGGGGAGAGTTTATACCGGGACACCCCGGCCTTCTCGTCTGTTTCCAAATGGTCGGTCAAAGTTTGCGAAAGGTCGATCTGACGTGATCTGTAATGGGATGTCCTCAGTGGTGGCGAGAACTTGTATCCGATGTAATGAGATTGAGGTAATCAAGGCATGTGATTAATCCTGTTTTGTTTAATTAAAGCAGTAATTGTTTATTGTTAAGCTAATTTATCTCTGCAGCCTTTGAAATATGCAGCTACTCGCCGACTCGTCTCGCATCAAAACACTGGGCTGTGTACTCGCGGGCAGATGACCACGGAGTACGCTGATCACTGTGTCGGATTAACGAGACTGATTAATGAGTGATTTCGGTAATTCGTTGCAAATTATGTGTGTCGGAGTCGGAGTGCGAGACTGTCGGATTAACGGGACTAAATAGCACTGATTTAATCGGTTCCCATCATTAGTATCGGATAAAGCCGATTGTCGGATTAACGAGTGTCGGATTAACGAGACTTGACTGTAGGGGGAATTGAACAAGGCTGTACATCGAGACGGGAAAACACAAACAACCTGGCTACCCACAGTTCTGGCCACGTACCGTGTAGTCAAGCAGGGTCCTGTTGAACGACTGCCTAGCTACGCGTTCTATCTCATCAACGGTGGCCATGATGTTGGTGACTTGTGAGGAGGCGTCCGACGACAGGGACATCAGGTAAGTTTGCACCCCTTTCAACGACGTCACAAGCGAGGTCAAGGACGTCCATATTTGTTTCAGTGGTCCTAAACGTAAATACAATGTTAGCATGTACAATTAGTCTCACATATGGCAATGGGTATGTAAGTGATTATATATGTATGTACCTGGGCAAGAATGGTCCCCAGCAATCTAGTATTGTAGTGAGAGGCGAAACAATTAGATCGTGTGCGGTCACTATTCCACCATCCCAGTAATAGCCCATCATCACAGCACTAAACCACCATCCCATCACTTGCCCACCATCCCAACACTAACCCACCACCACACCAATAGCCCATCATCACAGCACTAAACCATCATCCCAATACTTGCCAACCATCCCAACATTAACCCATTAGTCCACCATTCCACCACTAAACCATTAGTCCACCATTCCACTACTAAACCATTAGTCCACCATCACACCACTAACCCATTAGTCCACCATTTCACCACAAACCCATCAGTCAACCATTCCACCACTGACCAACTAGTCAGCCATTCCACCACTAAACCATTAGTCCACCATCACGCCGCTAAACCATTAGTCCACCATCACACACTAACCCATTAGTCCACCATTCCACCACTAACCAATTAGTCCACCATCCCACCATTCAACCACTAACCAATTAGTCCACCATTCCACCACTAACCAGCTAGTCCACCATTCCACCACTAAACCATTAGTCCACCATTCCACCACTAAACCATTAGTCCACCATTCCACCACTAACCAATTAGTCCACCATTCCACCACTAAACCATTAGTCCACCATTCCACCACTAACCCATTAGTCCACCATTCCACCACTAACCAATTAGTCCACCATCACACCATTCCACCACTAACCCATTAGTCCACCATTCCACCACTAACCCATTAGTCCACCATTCCACCACTAACCAATTAGTCCACCATCAAACCATTCCACCACTAACCCACCATTCCACCCCTAACCCACTAGTCCACCACTAACCCATTAGTCCAACATTCCACCACTAACCCACCATTCCACCACTAACCCATTTGTCCACCATCACACCACTAATCAGCCACTAATCACTACCTCACCACTTCATCTCCAACTAGCCCACCATCGCAACACTAGCCCACCACCCCAACACTAGCCAACCATCCCAACACTAGTCCACCATCACAACACTGGTCCACCATCCCAACACTAGCCCCCCATCCCAACACTAGTCCATCATCCCAACACTAGCCCACCATCCCAACACTAGTCCAACATCACAACACTAGTCCACCATCCCAACACTAGTCCACCATCACAACACTAGTCCACCATCACAACACTAGTCCACCATCCCAACACAAGCCCACCATTCCAACACTAGCCCACCATCCCAACACTAGCCCACCATCACAACACTAGTCCACCATCCCAACACTAGTCCACCATCACAACACTAGTCCACCATCACAACACAAGCCCACCATCACAACAGTAGCCCACCATCACAACACTAGTCCACCATCACAACACAAGCCCACCATCACAACAGTAGCCCACCATCACAACACTAGTCCACCATCACAACACAAGCCCACCATCACAACAGTAGCCCACCATCACAACACTAGTCTACCATCCCAACACTAGCCCAACACGAACCCAACACTAGCTCATCACCCCACCACTCACCCACAACCCACGTACCTGACGCCGCATGGATGCTCTTGATGTTGGCAACTGCCTGGTCCCGCTTCGTGCTGGCGCCACTCAAGGTCGAAGTCGCTTCTTGAAGGCGCTGCTGTATCAGCGGAAGGTCTGAGCTGTTGCCAGTGTTGAGGTTAGAGGTCAAGGTCACCAGTGTGCTGTTAAACTGGTCGATCAAGGTCTGAGTTCTGGCCTCCTCTGCGTTGGCGTCATTCAACTTAAAAGGGATGAGAGAGAAAGAGAGTTGGATTTTACGCTGCCCTCAACAATATTCCAGGAGTTTCCGGTACCAGAAGTAGGCTTCACATATCGCATGAATGTGGTGTAGCGAACGGTACCTTTTGTGTGACAAGCGAACGCTTTAACCACAGGGCTACCCCGCCGCCCTATTTAAACTGAATGCAGGAAGGACAAAAATGATTTTTTTCTTTCCATAGAATAAAAGTCAAGGCCATATCCTTTTTAGTCTACATGATAATTTAAGATATTTAGTATTTGACATGAAAGAAGATATTGGTTAAGACAGTACAAGTTGGATGGTTGGTTTGTTGTTTAACGCCGCACTCAGCAATATTCCAGCTATATGACGGCGGTCTGTAAATAATCGAATCTGGACCAGACAATCCAGTGATTGATATTATGAGCATCGATCGACAAGTACATGATACTGAAATCATCTTAGGCCACATGGATTTCTTATGAAGGTGGCAAACTTGTTCAGTATAGTCATTCCTATACAAAATCTAGTTCAAAAGTTCAAAAGGACAAAAGGTTAATTGTCTTTCGAAAATATCTTATAACGTTAAACATTTAACATTTCTAGTGGGCAAAAATGGACCCTTCATATCATACATAGTCCTTATGAAAATATACTGTTAAAGTTCTGGGGACCAGTCCCACTGATATGGGTCCTTTAAGATTAGCTGAACTGTTTAATTGGTTTTGTAGAAAGAAACGACAGGGAATAATCAGTTACGATAAATAACTCAACGACTTTGTCGTATATTTCAAGTTACTACTTCATACAAGTTTCAAAACTAATATCTATATTAAGTATTATTTTTATTTATGTATGGTCGTGCATATTTTTTTTTTTAATATCGTATGCTCAAATACGTTTCTTAAATTGTTTTTAAATATAACTTTGTAAAAATATCCAATCTCATTAAGTTCTCGCTGCCGCTAAACAAAGATCTGAGAACATCCCATTACGGGTCACGTCAGAACGACCTTTCGCGAACTTTGACCGACCACTGAAACGACTAACAAGAAGTCGACATCATCCAATTAGAAAGCAGCTTTCTCGAGCTTTATGACACTCGTTTCAACCTGGCGACTTCCATTTTGACTACGTTTGAAAAATATGTCGACACAGTTCTCGATTAAAATTAAACTGTACAAACGAGCATTCCGGAATGTCTAATATATGATTGCGACTGTATGGCAGTGCTTCCCACGGACTGTGCAACGCCTCCTCCGTTCAAATGTTTATCTCACGGGAGCGAGAGTTATAATTTTGACGGAATCAGTCGTACGGGCCGGAATACCCCGTTTTAAATGTTTTCGAGATTGCATGATTAGAAAACACATTCCGACTGTCACTTTCATGATCTGGTAAGCGACGCTTTGATTGGTCGGATGAAAGGTAGTTCTGACGTGACCCGTAATGGGATGTGCTCAGATCTTTGTTTAGCGGCAGCGAGAATTAAATCTGACTTTAATGAGATTGGAAAAAAAAACCACTAAATTGTGAATATATTCACTTGGTCTCGTCGCTATATTGCTGAAATAATGCAGATGCGACGTTAAAGGTTAACTCACTCACTCACTGCATATTTAGTTATAACATACCTGCTGAAAGATGCCTGCGATACACTTAAGTTCCGTGAATATGGCGAATAAAAGCTCATGTCCACTAAGAAATATGGTCACAGCGGGTACATGTATGTGATAATAACTTTCAAGGTAACAATTTGGTAGCCAGAGATGCCTCATTGGTATATAAGTATTTCGAAAACTCTCAACAGTTAACGATGACCAATTACTACATCTGTAGGCTAATAATAGATTTTCTGAACAGTCCGCTACCCACTTACATAACATGAATACTGTAACATACATTTACAACACTGACCAGTCAAAGTGATTCGATCACCCTTTGGAACGAGCCCTTGGCCTGGACGTATCAGGGTAATTTGTGAGACGGTTTTAATCATAAACTGCTAGAAAGTGTACGTAATAAAACAAAACAAACAAGTCGGGTTTGATGTACTGGAAGTAGCTCGCCAGAACTGCTAAATGGGCCGCAGTTAGCCCCGTTCCGTTTTACTTACGAAGTTAAGAAGTCTGGAAAGGGATCTCGAAGCGTTGTCCACCCGATCAACAAAGTTGCCAAGTCTCTGGGTATCATCGTTTGTGGTGAGATTGGTCAGTGTGTCTGTCATGTTGGTCAGCAGTCCACGCAGTTTGTCCGCCTCCTTCATCACCAGCTTGTAGCACTGGTCACACTCTGAGACAGGGACAAAGGTCAAGGTTAACGAAACACATGATGTCAAGGCTAACGGCGTTGCGTCAACATTGTGTTAGTGTGAAGGTTATGTATATCTTGTCCTTATTTCAGGATAAAAGACATGAATAATAATGTGTATTGGTTTATGTGCACAATATAACCGAAATACAGCTCAGACTCATTCACTCAATCTCACTCACTCACCCATTCAATGATTCATCTCGTCGAGTTCTGCAAAGTATAAGAGGTTGCGGTGGTTTTCAAACTGACCTACCTTGACAACCTGACACTATGAGAGTATGTAGTATCTTATAGACCAACCTTGACAACCTGACACTGTGAGGTTATGGTAGTTATCTTATAGACCTACCTTGACAACCTGACACTGTGAGAGTATGTAGTATCTTATAGACCAACCTTGACAACCCGACACTGTGAGGTTATGGTAGTTATCATATAGACCTACCTTGACAACTCGACACTGTGAGGTTATGGTAGTTATCTTATAGACCTACCTTGACAACCTGACACTGTGAGGTTATGGTAGTTATCTTATAGACCTACCTTGACAACCCGACACTGTGAGGTTATGGTAGTTATTTTATAGACCAACCTTGACAACCCGACACTGTGAGGTTATGGTAGTTATCTTATAGACCAACCTTGACAACCCGACACTGTGAGAGTATGGTAGTTATCTTATAGACCAACCTTCACAACCCGACACTGTGAGGTTATGGTAGTTATCTTATAGACCTACCTTGACAACCCGACACTGTGAGGTTATGGTAGTTATCTTATAGACCTACCTTGACAACCCGACACTGTGAGAGTATGGTAGTTATCTTATAGACCAACCTTCATAACCCGACACTGTGAGAGTATGGTAGTTATCTTATAGACCTACCTTGACAACCTGACACTGTGAGGTTATGGTAGTTATCTTATAGACCAACCTTCACAACCCGACACTGTGAGGTTATGGTAGTTATCTTATAGACCAACCTTGACAACCTGACACTGTGAGGTTATGGTAGTTATCTTATAGACCTACCTTGACAACCCGACACTGTGAGAGTATGGTAGTTATCTTATAGACCAACCTTCACAACCCGACACTGTGAGGTTATGGTAGTTATCTTATAGACCTACCTTGACAACCTGACACTTTGAGGTTATGGTAGTTATCTTATAGACCTACCTTGACAACCCGACACTGTGAGGGTATGGTAGTTATCTTATAGACCAACCTTCACAACCCGACACTGTGAGAGTATGGTAGTTATCTTATAGACCTACCTTGACAACCTGACACTGTGAGGTTATGGTAGTTATCTTATAGACCAACTTGACAACCTGACACTGTGAGGTTATGGTAGTTATCTTATAGACCTACCTTGACAACCCGACACTGTGAGAGTATGGTAGTTATCTTATAGACCAACCTTCACAACCCGACACTGTGAGAGTATGGTAGTTATCTTATAGACCAACCTTCACAACCCGACACTGTGAGAGTATGGTAGTTATCTTATAGACCTACCTTGACAACCCGACACTGTGAGAGTATGGTAGTTATCTTATAGACCTACCTTGACAACCCGACACTGTGAGGTTATGGTAGTTATCTTCACACTTGTCACACTGCCTTCCGGTCACATGAGCAGCACACACACACTGCCCGGTCGCCTTGTCACATAATGAGGCTGCCGTGGTTCCGGGTGTGGAACAGTTGCAGTCTGGGAAGAAGCCAAAGCAAGTCAGGATAAGGAAGATTTAACACTGAACTACATGTCTCTATACACTTAACTGTATCTTAATGTCCACTGAACTACATGTCTCTATACACTTAACTGTATCTTAATGTCCTCTTAAATACATCGCTCTATACACTTAACTGTATCTTAATTTCCACTGAACTACATGTCTCTATACACTAAACTACATCTTAATGTCCACTTAACTGTAGTCTCTATACACTAAACTACATCTTAATGTCCCCTTAACTATAGTCTCTATACACTAAACTACATCTTAATGTCTCCTTAACTATAGTCTCTATACACTAAACTACATCTTCATATCTACTTAACTATAGTCTCTATACACGAAACTACATCCTAATGTCCACTTAACTATAGTCTCTATACACTAAACTACATCCTAATGTCCACTTAACTATAGTCTCTATACACTAAACTACATCCTAATGTCCACTTAACTATAGTCTCTATACACTAAACTACATCCTAATGTCCACTTTACTATAGTCTCTATACACGAAACTACATCCTAATGTCCACTTAACTATAGTCTCTATACACTAAACTACATCTTAATGTCTACTTAACTATAGTCTCTTTACACTAAACTACATCCTTGTGTCCACTTAACTATAGTCTCTATACACTTAACTGTGTCTTAGTCGTTCCTTACCTCTACATCCATCAGCGCCGAGACCCCAGAACCTATCGGCGCAGGTATCACACTGAGCTCCCACAACATTAACAGAGCAGTTCTCACACTTGTCACCTGTTGTCCCGTTACGGCAGTTAAGACAAACCCCCGTCGTCTCGTTGCATTGCCTTTCACCGAAAGTCCGCCCGGTGCAGTCACACGCAATGCACATGCCGAAACGAGTATCATTTGGCAAGGAGGCAGATCGCCAATTACCTGCACTGCACTTCTCACAAGACAGACCTGAAAATGTTTGGCAAACCTTTTATAAGAACCCTGGTTGCATGTGACTGATATTGCTTGTCTCGATTCATAAAACTGCATACAGAGGTTGCGGTAGTTTTCAAATTGATCTCCCGTGACAACCTAACACTGTGAGAGTATGGTAGTTATCTTAAAGTCCTACCTTGACAACCCGACACTGTGAGAGTATGGTAGTTATCTTATAGTCCTACCGTGACAACCCGACACTGTGAGAGTATGATATATATCTTATAGTCCTACCTTGACAACCCGACACTGTGAGAGTATGGTAGTTATTTTATAGTCCTACCTTGACAACCCAACATTGTGAGAGAATGGTAGTTATCTTATAGTCCTACCTTGACAACCCGACACTGTGAGAGTATCGTACGTATCTTATAGACCTACCTTGACAACCCGACACTATGAGAGTATCCTAGTTAGCTCATGGTCCTAATTGACAACCAAATTGTGAGAGTGAGGTTGTTATCCTATAGACCTATCTTGACAACCTAACACTGTGAGATTATGGTAGTTATCTTATAGTCCTACCCCTACACCCTCTCCCCGCCAACCCACTCTAACACTACCATGTATGATGGTAAGCAAGGACTCACCTCCAACGTTGTCCGGAGCATTACAAGTACAATTTTCTACAAAACTGGCGCCAAGTTGCGCCGTGGCGCCAGCGGATGCTGCTGCCGTTACCATGGTTACAGTTGACACGTCTGTCCGAGTTGAGTTTATTTCATTTTTGAACATCAGTTGTGTTATAGATGAGAGGATATCTGAAATAGTATGACGTGTGTGTCAAACAGTGTGAGCTGACCCATATGTTCCATACTGAAATGGCCGAGTATTCGGAAAAATGAAGGTTTTAATATGGCTGAGTGAGTGAGTATGGTTTTACACCGTTTTAGCAATATTCCAGCAATATCACGGCGAGGGACACCAGAAATGGGCTTCACACATTGTACCCATGTGGAGAATCGAACCAACGTCCTCGGCATGACGAGCGAACTCGTTTACCACTATCGCCCCAAATCGAATAATAAATGCACATTACTGATTTGATTCCGTGAGCATAATGAGAAACACTATATCTCGGCGTATCCACAAGGCGATCATAGGCCTTGAAGTTTGAAGATGTAAAAACCGTTGTTGACGATGACGGGCGAGACAAACATGGCTTACCGGGAGCGTATGTCAACGTTGACACATAAACAACAATCTTATATTCAGCCATAATATACATATATACTGATACACCATACCAGTAAGTTAAAATGTTCTTGAGTGGGTTATTGGTGTTACTGACAAGTGGCCATGTCGACTGTAATGTTTTCTCATCATTATGTGTAGAAATAATTTTAAATATCCGTTTTCTTCCATCTTTCACGTTTCCTTATTACTCGAATTCTGTAGATGTAAATATTTATATATAGTGAACGGTTTAGTGAAACTAGCTGAACGGTTTAGTGAAACTAGCTGAACGGTTTAGTGAAACTAGCTGAACGGTTTAGTAAAACTAGCTGAACGGTTAAGTAGAACCAGCAGTGGTAGTAGTGAGTGAGTGAGTATGGTTTTACGCCGCTTTTAGCAATATTCCAGCCATATCAAGGCGGGGAACACCAGAAATGAGCTTCACACATTGTACCCATGTGGGGAATCGAGCCCAGGTCTTCGGCGTGACGAGCGAACGCTTTGACCACGAGGCTACCCGACCGCCCCAGCAGTGGTAGTAGCTAACGCTAGGCTATCATGACTTTGTTGTGCGGACGGATATAGTGAATGAGTATAGCTTTACGCCGCTTTTAGCAATACTCCAGCAATATCATGGCAATATCATTAGCCTCACACTTTGAATCCATTTGGGGATTCGAACACTTTAATCACCAGGCTACCCAAACGCCCCTAAGATGTTCTAGGACTGAGAAGTAATCATCGGCTTGACTTACTGTACATGGCGTGTGGCGAAGGATTCTGGTTGTTGAGGAGCCAGTTCTCGGGTAACAGTCGTGTTTCGATTACGTTCCTCCCTGCTGTAGTCGACGCCGAGTGCCTGTAAACCAGTTCCGCCCCTAGCAGACGGAGGTGGAAACGGGGTTATAGCAGTGGAATTACCCAACACATGGCAGAATCACGGTACTTGAACAGAACAAGGCGTTTCTTGTTATAGTACTTGGTTTAAAGATCCGCCGAATTAATAAAATTATGACAGATGTAGAATTTCAGTGCACAGCCTTTTTTAAAAACATGGTGTCATTCAGTTTTAATGATCCGTTGGTATTTTTTTAACCACCCTTTTGACTTTTATGCCCTCGAGACTGATTGTTCACTGGCGTTGACGTTTTATATCCTGAAACGCCCAAATAAATTAATTTCATTTAATATCGAAAGGTCTTACAATAAGAAAATAACGACATGGCATAGCCCGGGAGGGATCTGAGAGAGATATTAAATACATTGTTGGAAATATTACATATACTATTGTTTAGCTATTATTTGAAACAAAAGTGTCAAGTGTCAAAGAAATCATTAATCACTGCTACATTTATTGTATTGGACACGTGTCCAATCTTACCAGCTCCTCGCACAGTAATGAGCGACTCCTGTGAGACATTCCCCGCCGTTAGGAACATATCAGCAATGATGAGTTGGCCATAAGAGGAGCTTTTGTCTCCAAGGTAAGCTTCCGGTGCGAGAATGTTACTTCCGTTGACGACCCATCCAGTAGTTCTACAACACACACACTGGTCGTAAAGGAACTTTGTTATGTCCTTTATAACAGAACTATATTTTGTCCGGGTTAAAGTGAGTGAGTTGGGGTTAACGCCGCTTTTAACAGTATTCCAGTTATACCACGGCGTATCAGCTTAATGAGGGAGGAAAGCCGGAAGTGATGCAGGTCTCAGACGTTTACCACTTCGGTGAAACCCACGAGTACGGGTATGGTGCTGACAAACCTCGAAACATAACCGGGGTGAACCGGAATTCGAAGCCACAATCATAGGTTTCTGGCGTGCCCAAGGGGCGCAACTCTGCACAGCGAAATGCGGCGCTTTAGACGACTGGGCCACCCGTGCCCCCCAGAATTGAAGCAAAGTCGATTATCAGATTTATCAAATCATAGAAAAATCCTTATGACGATATCTTACATGTAAATTAATGAAATTGCATCTGATAATAATATTTTATGTCATGACATTGTATCTAATAGTACTTACGTCGCCGATGTGATGTTGTACACGGTAAAGCCGTCAGCCGCTGCACAGACGTTGCTATGGTTGAAGCAAAAGCAAGGCTGACATCCTCTAGGATTGTACCCCGCCAGGTTAAAGAATCCTGGTTTACATTGATTGCACTTGCTATCCTGGACGTTGGACTTACAGTTGCACACCCCGGACACAGGGTCACAGGTCAAGGCCGTGCTGCCATTAGGGTCACAGTCACATTTCCTGAGGTCATAAGGTGAAAGATTCAGGTGTGGTTATTCGCATCGAAACAAAATGGCTGAGCAAGCATGTTCTAAATAGTACCCACCATGAGTGACGTTTGAGATGACGATGCTAACGATCTGTTGCTTGTTTGTTTGTTTGTTTGGTTATTGTTTAACGCCGCACTCAGCAATATCCCAGCTATATGACGGCGGTTTGTAAATAATCGTGTCTTGAACAGAAAATCCAGTGATAAACATCCTGAGCATAGATCAACGCAATTGGGATACGATGACATGCATCAACCAAGTCAGCGAGCCTGACCACCTGATCCCGTAAGTCGCCTCTTACGACAAGCAGTCACCTTCTACGGCAAGTATTGGTTGCGGAAGATCTTTTCTACCCCGGATCTCCAGGGGTCGTTGACAGTCTCAACAAATTCAGATCCCTTACTCCTTTTCGACACATCAATACGTGAAGATCTAAGTACACCTCTAAATAAGGTCGCGTCAGATGAACCCTGGGCGAACTTTGACCGTCCAATTAAAGTGATGGATGCGTGGGCTCTTGAGGCAATCAGATGTCAACTTTCCAAACGATTCGGGTTTTTTTTCTTTACTGCCACAGAACACAATTACTCTTACTCTTACAATTATGTTTATGTTGGTGTAGGTGGCGCTCAGAAACGACAGGATATATGAACTATCCAAAACAAAATAACAGCGCGGATATATGTTTTTGACATTCGGGGCACCATTCGTTTTCGAGTTTTCTGATGTTTGTCAGAATGTTTCGTTCACTCGTACCAAACATTAAGTAGCATCGATGCTGATTGGTTGATAAGAAAATGATCTTTTTTTAAGGTGTCCTCAGAACATCAGGCAGAGAGGTATCAGAGTAAAACATCTGACTTCAATGATACAGCTCTACAGATGGCCCTACTAAGGATTCCTAATGTCCTGCTTTAGCGAAAGAGAGAGGGGGGAATGTTTTGTTGTGTTTGGTATTTTTTTTTTATATCAGGTAAGCACTGCAGACAGTGATATTACATATTTATAACGGTGGGTCGTAAATACCCCAATCTGTCTTGAGAAATCAGTACACAATTGGTCAACCATCAAAAATATAAACAGACACACGCTGTGTACGATGTACACATCTAATTCCTTTTCTTGGTTGGCACCATGGGATACTGGCACCTATTCCAAAGGCTGTCAGTGGGGAACAACAGCTTGAGAGTGCCAACCTATGCTACAAACTAAGAGCCAACAACATTTCCAAGCGTTTCCCGTAACAGAAAATTGGAATGGCTAAACCATTATGACTTGTGTACCATTCTTCAAAGTTTGGTATGCAAATGATAATTAGACATAATCCCACAGCTTAGCTACGAGTTATGTCCCTTCTTATTGACCAATCAGATTCCACCTCTCATATAACTTGCATTTGCTTCAAACAAAATGGCGGCGCACGGTCAAAACGATCTGATTGATAATAAAGATCTATATATGTAATAAAACGGGTTAAACCACTGCTCAGATAGAACTATCAGTGATTATCTGAAATAAAAAGGAAAGATAACTCTGTCGCATATCGTCCTAAATATTCAGAAATCAGACCTATATCTTAATGAAGCTTTGGGGTTTTTCAAAGTAGTTTTCAAACAAACAGTACTTACTGACAGCCACTAGCGCTGAAGCTGTAGTAGGAGTCTGCGCAGGCGTCACATCTCATTCCACTAATGGTTGGCTTACACGGGCACTGTCCAAACGCGCTACACTGCGTCTCATTATTATTTGTTCCAGTGGCATTGCACCCGCATTCTACGCAGCCACTCGGTCCGTAACCATAGTGATCAGCCAGACATGCGCGGCACTGTCTGTCTGTCTTGTTCCCGTTTGCATCCATCTGCCCGGCAACAGCGATATTCTGGAGACACTTGCATTGGCCGGTGGTGCTGTTACAAGCGCCATTGACAGATCCATAGGGGCCGCAATCACAGGCTATAATAGAACCATAGCACGGGAGGTATATATACTTACTAAAGGGCAGATCACACATTCATTAACCATTACCAAAAGGTTTTCGTCAAACAGATTAGAGTTTGAAAATAAGGAATTGGGGAAATCGTAAAAAGATGTAAAGATAACAAAAATGGCAAAAAATGAAATACTACCGATTCCTGTTTCCCGTTTTGTTCAGGTGATTGCAGCAACGACCGTGTTCTTTGCGGTTTGGTTTTGGTTTTATTTACATCATAAAATAGAAGAAAAAAACAGAATTTGTTCTCAAACACAAAAATATTTTTCGCTGGACATGATGATGGGTGATCAAGTTATATCTTGTTAGTTTGAAAATAAGGAATTGGGGAAATCGTAAAAAGATGTAAAGATAACAAAAATGGCAAAAAATGAAATACTACCGATTCCTGTTTCCCGTTTTGTTCAGGTGATTGCAGCAACGACCGTGTTCTTTGCGGTTTGGTTTTGGTTTTATTTACATCATAAAATAGAAGAAAAAAACAGAATTTGTTCTCAAACACAAAAATATTTTTCGCTGGACATGATGATGGGTGATCAAGTTATATCGCACACACACACACACATGTACGCACGAACGCACACTCACACGCACACGCAGAATTAGATTGGTGGTGCCTAAGACAGAGCCGGGTCATGTACAGCTGTTGCCACTCATAGCAACATGTTGTACTTCTGTTTCCACCTTTGTGCAAAGATACCGCAGAAACATCTTCCACCTTTGTAAACAAAGACAAGAGCCAAGTACAACTGATGGTTTTAATGTTTTGGGGAATTTGTATTTACCGTACACATATTATTATACAATATGACGAATGATATAAACTGCCAGGCAAAAGAAAACATACACCCATGTTTGATGGTAGGTAAAATGAGACAAAAACCCATCCTTATTATTTTTTTTGTAGATGGTGATGTATTTGATGCGGGTATCATGGGCGATATTTCATACATGATATCAATGAGGATTGCGGACAGTGGGGTAGCCTAGTGGTTAAAGCGTTTGCTCGTCACGCCTAAGGCCTGGTTTTATTCCCCTTATGGGTACCGTGTGTGAAGATCATTTCATGTCTGGTGTCCCCCGCCGTGATATTGCTGGAATATTGCTAAAAGCGGGGTGAAAATATACTCACTCACTCTCTCAATGAGGATCTCACAAGAGCTCAGCCTATAAACGGTTTGGCGGTCAAATTCAGTTACCAAGTGTATACTTTCTTTTGCCCGACATTTTATGCCCTGGTATTATATTATATATAACATACACATTGACATGATTTTCACATATTGATACGAATGATGACGTATGGCATGGACTCATAGTGCATTTGTGACATCTTTGTATATGACGTCATTAGCATGTTATCTAGCCTTGACGTGAAGATCAATGTGTGCAACGTTAAGTACGAAAGACACATTTACATACAGTGTGCCTGATTGCATGTCGACAAACACGCGTGTAGAAGTATATATACTATGATACAAAACAACATGAATATTACTGGTTTTAATTAATTCCCTGTTTTACATCTTACACCATTTGTTTTACTATCATGGGATTACTCCCTTTTATACTGAATTTGATAAACAATGTCCTTTCACAGTAAATGTTTGTTAGTTGTTTAACGCTGCATTCAGCAATAATCCAGCTATATGACGGCGGTCTGTAAATTATTGAGACTGGTCCAGAAAGTCCAGTGATTGAGATCATGAGCATCGATCCACGCAATTGGGATACGATGACATGCATCTTCATGACCACCCGATCCCGTTAGTCGCCTCTTACGACAAGCACAGTCGCCTTTTACGGCAAGCATGGGTTGCTGAAGACCTACTCTACCCCGGAATCACGACCTAGGTACGATGGTACACTATCAACGAAGTTGCTGAGTCTGACCACGTGATCCATTTCGTCAAGCAAAGGCTACCTGGGAGTCTCAACGGGGTTTAAATATTACAATGGTCTCATTGCGTTGTTGGTATAGATCTCTAGACATGATGGATATGGCATTCCTTAATAAATTTTTGGGTAATTAATTCATATAAAATGCGTGTTCTATTTGTTTACTTTGTCTATGAAAGGACAAATTCAGTCATGAAATAAAATTGAGTTTTAATAATTGCTGTTAAAGCATTGTCGAAATTGCCACCTTATCCTGAATATGTCAGAAAATCATTGTTGAAATGAATTAAAACCATCTTCGTATTGTCAGTCTTCATTTAATTTAAATATCTTACTTCAAAATATAATTTTAAGTAGCAGTATACTAAATGTCACATGTTATTACCAGTAAAGACTTATTGACAATGTGTAGATTTCGATGGAAAATTGATAAATTGGATCAGTTTAGTATCATGTGTTAAGTTGTCATTGTGTCTTGTGACCATTATCAACCTACACAGTCAACTAATGTTTCAGCATAAAAAAGTAAATGGAATGGTATTATGATTTTTGCTTCAAAATCGATTCTTTTTGACATACTGTTTGCACAACGTTTCAGTACTTTTTGACTGCTAGGCAAATATAGGTTGAAAAAAATGCTTGCTTCGTTCAGACTAGATGATCATTACGTTTAAAATTGTCTGCATATTTTCTCAATATTAACAGTGAAACCCCCTCAGTCCAGGAACCCATCAATCCGGACACCGATTTTGTTTGGAACATTTGCTTATGTACTAAGGACATAACTCCTTATATACCACTTGAAATAAGTTAAAGAACACCCGATTATTTCATATTACTACAGTTAATCTGGCATGGCCATAACAGATTTGGCAATAGTAATGTTGAAAGAATCGAGTGTTCTTAAAACTCTCTTAGTAGTATATGAGAGATATTATCCAGACCTTCGTTAATCCGGATAATTTCGTCAGGAAGAATATTGTCCAGATTAAGGGGGGTTCACTATATATTGTGTCTTTTGGGCACGAAAAAAAACTTGGTTCGAATCCCAGTTCGCCCTGGTTGTGTTTTTAGGTTTTTCATTAAAGTGGGTAACGTCTGAGACCTGCATCACTTCAGGCTTTCCTCCCACATTAAGCTGACACACCGTGAAATAACGGAAATACTGTTAAAAGCGGCGTTTAGCCAAACTCACTCACTCCACTCTCTGTATGTGTACAAGGTAGAGAATAGGAACATGACGTTTCAAACAACATTACATGTGTGTTTAAAAAAACGAAACCTCTGACTTTACACAAGAGAGCCATTAAGTTCATCGTAAGAATCATATCCGGCAAAGTCCCCATTTTTACGTTGAAGAAGATCCTCGTTGAAACGATTGTCATCGATAGCTGTGTTGTACTCATCAACATTATTTTGATTTTCGTCAGCGAGTTTCACCGGTTTAATTCTTCTAAGTTTCTTTCGCTTCGGTTTGCTTGGTGCTGATGGCTTTGACACGGTTATAACAGGAAGTGTAAGCGGGTTATCGGACTTGAATGTGTCAAAAGATGGCGGAGGAGGGATGATGTCGGACGGCAACGTCTCTGCGTCACATGTTCTCGTCTCCATGTCCTCTGTCGGTAATACTTCGTTATAATCATCACCGTACACTCCAATACTCCTCGTTTCGGGTTGTCCATCACTGAATTGTCTCCCTTGAGCAAAGAAGAACGCAGGTATATCGCCATCCCCCCAAACCGACCTTGTATCTGACAGCGAAGGGGAATAACTCATGTTGGCATTACCAGCAGAAATCCATGTTAGCGTACGATCACTAGTTTCCTTGTGGGTGTGATTTCGCGGGTCATGTGACCCTAGGTTGCCCCCGGGACCTTTGTTAATAACCCGGATGTTCTTCTTCCCAGGTTCCTTCATAAAACAGCTGAGATGACGGGATATGCATCCTGGATGTAACCAAAGAAAGGCTATGCATGCGAGAAACATCGCACACAGGGTAAGTCCCAGTGCCAGAAACAAGCCGATGGTATCAGGATTATCTAAGAAAGCTTCTGACTTGAGTGTTGTTGATGTAGGGGGAGGTAACTCTGGACAAGGCCATGACGGACATTCTGTAGAGAAAGAGAAACATACCTGTGCCTCATATGCAGTAGAACATTTACGTAAATGGTTGTTTCACTCAGTTATCTACCCTGGGTTCATGTCTCAGATTCATCCTCATTACGTTTCTAGGCTTGTCAGCACCATCCCTGTACATGAATGTTTAACCAAAGTTGTAAGCGTCTATGACCTGCGTCGCTTTGGGTGTTCCTCACATATTATGCTGGTACGCGGTTAACATATGTTACCCCGTTTGAGAGGCGTTTACCCAAACCCACTCGGGGGATGATAATCGGGACTAATTTGGGATAGAATCTGCGGATCGTTACAATGGCACATAGATATCTAGTGGATTAGCAAATCCTTGCACCTAAGGGAGGCAACTCTGCACGTCTTGCAGTGACTCCATACACCAGTGAGCCACCTGTCAGTTATCCATACATCGTAAACGTGTATTTCCCTTTAATCATAAAAAAAGTTCCAAACATTTAGGGTGTCCGGAGTGACGATGTTCGGTTTAATGGGGATATACCGTGTGTTGATAATATATCTTTGTAATAGAATTTCGTCCTTAAATATAAAATTCCCTTTGAGCTTCAAATGTCATAAATTCCATAAATTCCAAAATTTCACGATTGAGCATGCTCATCTATGGTTGTTTTATCAGCGTTGTTCAACGACCTTGTGAATCGTGACGTTACTTGGGAACAACAACTTTATACACCCCTGATAACTGAGGATGAGTACTGGGTTAAGACTTACTTGCTTCAACAAAACGACGACGTCCTCATCTTCTGTTCTAGGTGACGATCCTCAGAATGACATTTATTGCCGGAATATTTTTTGGTCATTATAATCCCAAAACAAGAAAGAGTTGAAATGACATTCAACTGTATTCTTAAACCCTCTACCAATGAAAGCATGCATTTAGTTTGAATCTTACAATTGTAGAAAATATGACAAGAAATGGATATCAAAAATGGGGGGAAAATCACAAAATCGAACACCACACATTTTAAGTAGTTTGTAAAAGAAAAATATGTTACTACCCTACAGAGAATAACGCTTGATTTTTAAATAGGTAAATGTTGTGAATTCAGAGCAAAACACGATATATTAAAATATTTGTTTGTGCGTGCGTGTGTATGTGCGTGTTGCTATATATGTACGTGTTTGACAGATCATGATATGTTTTGTTTAGACCTAATTCGACGTCCCTGCGATATGCAAAACGGTAAATAATGTGAAAGATTTCTAATCATTTCAACTACTTTAAGTTGATCCCCGTTGCTGGGGTTTACAGGACTGCTTCGTATTCTAATAATCGTTAGTTCGTTATTTCCGGAGTTTTACTGACTTTTCCCAGCAAACGTTGAGTGTCATACTGTGCTCTGAATTCACGAAGACATGAAGGAAAACTCACGTGTACATCCACTCGACGACAGACCGAAGTAGCCGGGAAAACAGACGTCACAGCGGCGCCCTCCTACCCCGGGCTTGCACGTGCACTGACCACCAAGAGGAGCGCACGTGCATTGGCCATTTTGACAAGTGCTATTAAGGGTTCCAACAGGATTGCATTGACAAGCTGAAAAATATATATTCCTGACTAAAGATACAAAATACCTTGTGCGAAGGCGTTTACACCGAAAGCATTCGTAAAATCATTCGTGGCCAACTCGTATTTTTCCCAGACAGGCCGAATAGCGACTCGAAGCTTATTCTAGCTCGTATTCTACAGTATGATTGAACACATTTAACTGTAACTTGGGTATATATTCGTAGTTGCAAGATGTAAAATGAAAGCTTATTCGTGGAGGATTCTTTGACATGAAGTCATACGTATATTCCAAATGGTTTGTCGTATTTTCGCACATAACATTCATCGATTGGAGGTGAGTCTTCTTGCAGGTGACGGAAAGGTTCGAGTGGTGACGAGTGACAAAGCAATGTTTCATTACCTTAAAAAAATGTTCGGTTGTTATTTGGAAAATAACTGATTCTTCCATACGCATATGAAGAGAAAAAGATGAAATTTTATACAGCTGCGATTAATTGAGTTGCTTAGAGTCGTTATATGACTTTGTCCCACTTCGTAATATCCAGAGCTGACGGTATTTGGAACCTGAAATGTGTTTAACGCCGCTTGGAACAGTGTTTCAGTATATGGCCCGAAGTCTTGCAAGTTTTAAACATATACCACGTGGGTGAAGCCAACGCGTGTAATAATAATAATAATGGTGAATCTGGGATTCGAACCAACGGTCATAGGTTTCTGGCACGTCAAAGAAACACAACGCATTCCGGCGCCTCAGACGACTGAGTCACGAGTACCCCAGGGGTCTACTGGACATTCACTATCAATCAGAACAGACTAGACCCGTGAAGATCAGGGGTAGAATAGGTCTTCAGAAACCCATGCTTCCCATAAGAGGCGACTAACGCGATCGGGTAGTCAAACTCGCTGACTTGGTTGATGATGTCAATCACTGGATTGTCTGGACCAGACTCGATTATTTACAGACCGCTGCCATAGAGCATATTGTTGAGTGCGGCGTTAAACAATAAACAAACAAACAAACAAACAGATTAGCCTAGAAGCCGGCACTCACGTTTCCCCTCCTTGTACACCTCCGCGGACACCGTGTACAGCACCTTCCGGCACGTTTCGTTTGTAATGGCGGCCTCGCGTGACGACAGCGCTGCCAACTGACCCATGCATGTGTCTGTGTACAGGGCAGCATCGGAGCCTGTGGAAGCACATATGAAAACATCAGAATGGTATCCTGGAGAATGGTGCAAGACAATTGAAAGGCTGCCGTACAGGGCTAGGAAACTACCGCCTGCTTATCCATGGTCAATATATGAGACAGTGGTTAGTGTTTTACGCCGCAGCTATCACTATTACCCCAATACCATGTCATCAGGTATATAATCGAATTCAGACCAAATGACGTCAGATATGACGTATTTTATACAATCATGAACCATTGTTAACAGATATAAACAATTATTTACAGGTATGGGCTATTGTTTACAGGTATGGACTATTGTTTACAGGGATGAACTATTGTTTACATGTATGAGCTATTGTTTCTTATAGATATATTAATGTTTGAAGGTATAAACCTAACTTTACATGTATGAACTATTGTTTACAGGCATAAACTATTGTTTATATGTATGAACTATTGTTTACAGGTATGAACTATTGTTTAGTGGTGGGAAATATTGTGTACAGGTATGAACTAGTGTTCACAGGTATGAGCTATTGTTTCATATAGATGTATTAATGTATAAAGGTATAAACCTTTACATGTATGAACTATTGTTTACAGGTATGAACTATTGTTTCATATAGATATATTAAAGTATAAAGGTATAAACCTTTATATGTATGAACTATTGTTTACGGGCATGACCTATTGTTTGCAGGTATGAAATACTGTTTACAGATATGAGCTATTGTTTCATATAGATATATTAATTGAAAAGGTATCAACCTAACTTTACATGTATGAACTATTGTTTACAGGCATGACCTATTGTTTGCAGGTATGAAATACTGTTTACAGATATGAGCTATTGTTTCATATAGATATATTAATGTATAAAGGTATCAACCTAACTTTACATGTATGAACTATTGTTTACAGGCATGACCTATTGTTTACAGGTATGAAATACTGTTTACAGATATGAGCTATTGTTTCATATAGATATATTAATGTATAAAGGTATCAACCTAACTTTACATGTATGAACTATTGTTTACAGGCATGATCTATTGTTTACAGGTATGAACTATTGTTTACAGTTACGAACTATTGCTTAGTGGTGATAAATATTGTGTATAGGTATGAACTATTGTTCACAGGTATGGACAATTGTTTACAGGCTGAACTTTTGTTTACCAGTATGAACTATTGTACAATGCAGATATTAACTATTGGAAAAAGGTTTCAACTATTGTATACGTGTGTGAATTATTGTATACAGACATGACCAATTGTAAACCTGTGTTACAGTTGTATACGGTGAGGTAGCCTAGTGGTTAAAGTGCTCCCTCGTCATGCCGAATGCCCGGGTTCGATTCCCGACATGGGTGCAATGTGCCCATATCTGGTGTCCCCTGTCGTGATATTGCTGGAATATTGCTAAAAGCGGTGCAAAACGCAGCTGATCACGACTCATCTATGAACTATGTACTGGCAGATATAACAACTTACTCCTTTCTGTTGTAATTCTGAACATCTGTCCGCTGTTATTGAGGGAAGGGAGGAATATGAGGGAGTCGATGAGGGTGGAGTTGGTGCCGTTCACGTGGTCTGGGAGGGTCAGCTTTAATGTGTATTGACATCTCCTGTCTATGGTCACGGCTGGGCTTGCCATCGCAGCAGTGGATTGACCTGGCAAAACAAGACGTGGCCATTCAGTGAAAGGGGTCAGATAATACCACTGGCGAGAACAGTCAGACAGGCTGTAGTTAGTGAGATGGGTTTAAGGGTATTTCAGTTACAACATAACGATGTTCCAACCTGTTTAACATACAAGCATGGTTACATAAGAGATGTAGATGTAACTACAGTGGGGTCTTTTTCATGCTTCTCGTTCAGTGCGAGTGTGTTTGAGGCAAAGAGACTATGGCATTTACAAAAACCCTTTAAATATTTTCATGATCATCTCCATCATCAGTGACGGGTTAGAATTGATCCCATGAAACATATGCTGTAGCCAACTTAATAGTCTGGGCGGTCATGTTCGGCGACTTGTGTCATCGTAAAACGAAGACGTGGCTCGTTGCTCATAATATCAATCACTGGTGTGTCTGTTCCAGAGAGGCCGCCTTCATTAAAGCTCGAACAAACACTAACAAACAAGTACAGTTTGTTGATACGAGTAAATTAAAATTTAACGTCGCATTTACAATATCTGAGCCATATAGGGAGCTAACTTAGTGATTAAAGCGTTCACTCGCCACGCCGAAGGCCCAGGTTCGATTCCCAACATTGGATTCCCCGCCGTGATATACTTGGAATATTGAAAACAACAGCGTATAATCATACTCAATCACTCAGCCATAGAGAGACCCGGGAAACACCTTTGGGTGACACAGACTATTGGTATTTCCGCATTTGATAATTTACGGTTTATATTAAAAACCGGAAAAACCGAAATGTTTTCAGAAGGCCTCTGGTTTTGTCTGTTCTTGATATTCAGCAATTTTATTTCACCTAATACAAGGATTTGTTTGTCAAAAATATCGAAAGTGCTTATTTTAGTGCATCCTCTATATCTCCAGGGCTAGCATTTCGGTGAGCCCTTGATCCAATTCCGCGGTTCTTGCGATCGCATATTACCCATATTTATAACTAGTATTGCCTAGAAACCAAAGTGAAGACAGCGTTAATGGAAATATGGACATCCTTTCCATCCAAAAGATTTTTGAGGGCTTTCGTGTCAGTGAGTTTTTCAAAATTGAATTTCTCTCAAACTCCAACCAAACATTGAAGCTGGTTTGTAACTCGCATTCTGATTGGTACGTCAGACCTTTTAGAGTAGCCAATCAAATTGGCGAATGGAAATCAAGGGCAGGTTATTTGAGATTTGAGTCTCGGATCAGTGTAGGTTTACCGTATGGCAAGCCTGGAGATTTAGACAATGATTTGAGCGAGGGGACACAAAAGTCGTATAAAATGTCAAAGGATCCGCAGATCGCGTGTTCGAATCCACATTACGACCTGATTATGATCTGTCAACACTATATCCATGGTGACTGCAACGTGAGTTACTTTGACCGTTAGAACGCCGCCATATAAAACAGTGTTCAACACAGCGTTAAGCCCACGTTTTATAGGAAACAATAATACGAATAAATCCTTGCAATAATTCCCACGGAGCTACCTACCAGGTATGAGATTTAACGTTAAGGTAGTGGGAGTTCTCAATGCTTGTCCACATGACCCTGCCGGTATCTGTTGTGTATTTCCGGTCGCAGTGAGCTCCAGTTGAGCACCAACCCTTGCCGTCACGCCTCCCAGAGAATACCGAACGCCCAGATTGTATGGCCTGAAATTCATAAAGTTATTAAGCGCAAAAGTAAGAGTAAACACGAGCATCTACTCCTTGACCACACCCAAAGCCATCTTGGAGTGGTCTAATAATTGGGATATCCTCCCACAGTAAGCTGACACACCGTGATATAACTGGAATACTGTCCAACACTCACTCACTCAATCACTCTAATACAATCACATCTGCAACTACCACATCCGCTGCTTCTATAACAACATCTACTACGACTAAATCATCACGACTATGGCCACTGTTACTAATACTGCGGACCCGTGTTTGTTTGTTTGTTTGTTGTTGTTTAACACCGCACTCAGTAATGGTTCCTGTAAATGATCGAGTCTGGACCAGACAATCTGGTGACTGATATCATGAGCATCGATCTATGAATTTGGGATACGATGACATAAATTCAAAAAACACCGAGTCACACCACCTGATCACGTTTGTCGCCTCTTACGATAAGCATGGGTTGCTGAAGACCTAACCCGGATCTTCACGGAGCTGTGGACCCGTCGGGATTCCCGGTTAAAATGGGTCCCCGGTAACCTATTGGTCGAAAGAGGCGACAAAATGAATCGGCTGATCGGGCTCAGTGACGTATACTGACTGCGCATGTCGTTGCTCACACTATCGATCACCGGAATGTCTCGCCCAGACTCGACTACTACTACTACAACTAAAACTACAACTACCCCTATTACTACTACTCCCATGCTTTCAATAAACGGTTAAACTCTAACATTAGCCTGTATTCTGAATAACTATTGTTGAGGAAGAAATCTGTGTTAAAAAAACGTACCATGTGACATCGAACTGGTCATTGGTGCCTTGATATTTAAATTCCACGACCTTTTCCCCGCTTGGCGGGCAGGTGGCGAAGGTCGAACCATCAAACGGTTTTGTCGGAGTCCAGAGATCTCCATCAATGGTGCACGTCCCACCCTCTGGTTGGAGAATGAACTCGTCCAGTAGTGGAATATAGAAGTAGAGTTCCGCCTGCTCACACTTGGTGCCGGTGACGTGGGGGGCGCACCCACACATTCCAAAAGAATCACACGACGCGTTCGTCGACCCACCGGGGTCGCAAGAACAACTTTTACATTCCTGAAATGAAAAATGTATTATTTACAATTTGTCAATGCAGATGCCAAAGACGATGCCAAAGTACTCACGTAGGGAATCAATCCCTGGCCTTCGTATTGACAAGCCAAAGCTGTAACCACTAGGCTACGCTCCCGCCCCCTAATTACACGTCAGTGGCATGATAACACTCCTTTCTATATTCATCTTCCCGAGGCAAGAGAGTTAACTGACTTTAAAAGTCCAGTTTCCACCCTTGCCGAACTAGGCTGGACTTACTGGGCTCGATCGTAGCGCCACCAGTGGCTATTACGAGTTATGTCCCTTTTAAGCCTCTCCTATGGACCAATCAAATTTCACCTCTCGTATCACTTGCGTTTGCTTCACTGAAAATGGTGGCGCCCAGTCAGGACGATCTGATCGATAATCAAGATCTAAATTGTGATAACACGGGTCTTACATCGCGAAATGCATCAAATCCCGTGAACACCTTGATTAAAAACATGAAAAGATTGCGGTGCACATGCTTTGCAAATCCTGCAATCGACCGAAATCTGCGCGACAGTTTATGAACAGGATTTCGATTTCGGTGCGCGATTTTGATTGGACTATGCATAGTCCAGCCAAAATGTAACTCCATAATACAAGCCTAGTTCGGTAAACAGAACCTTTATAGTCAGCTAACTCTCTTGCCTCGGGAAGATGTACTATATTAGCCTGCGACACATAGACGACACCAGGTACTGAAACTATCACATACGTTCATGAAAATGATGACACCAGGTGTTCGCGAAAGCACAAGGTGACAATTTAGTCAGCTATAGTCAACAGTTGACAATGACAAGGAAACAGCCCTTCTACAAAATATGTAAAAGACACCCTCTCTGAACGTTTGACGGGCCAATCTATCAATGTTTGTGTGAGTCGATATCTCGTAACCAAACATTATAACATGAATACGTCCTCTATAAATCTGTGCCTTATAGTTAAAGCGGTCGTGGTAGTTCAGGCCAAATTAGCGTAGGTTTTCGCCAAGATGCGGAAGATTTAAAAAACATTTTTCGGGTTGACATGGGGTTTATGATACAAATATTTAACATAAGAATTCAGCTAGTTTCTTTTTTGTTTGTTTGTTTGTTTGTTTAACGCCGCACACAGCAATAGTCCAGCTTTATGACAGCGGCCTGTATAGAATCAAGTCTGGACCAGACAATCCAGTGATTGACATCATGAGCATCGATGAACACAATTGGAATACGATGACATGCATCAACCAAGTCAGCGAGCCTGTCCACCCGATCCTGTTAGTCGCCTCTTACGACAAGCATAGTCGCCTTTCACGGCAAGCATGGGTTACTGATATATTTCTAAAACACTCATGAAATTAAACATCAACATGTATAAAACGGTATTTTGTTGCTTTCCTTGGGAAGACCAAGGACAAGTTCATCCTCAAACAAGAAAATAAATCGGTCTGGTGTACGTACTCCCGCCATTTGACATCACGACTTACGTCAGAGGACAGGGCTGGAAACTGGTAGTAACCCGCTTTACATTTGTCACAGACTCGGCCCTCGATGGACGTCTTGCAGGGACAGTTGCCGTTACTGTTGTCACAGACGATGCTGTTGCCAATTGTCCCCTTAGTGTTGCATCCACAGGCTGAAATCATACCATGATATATTGTTAATTGTCCATGGCTTTCTCGCGATTTGCATCTACAGGCTATGTTGGATATATTGGTACGTATATTACGCATGGTCTCATCAACTCCTTGGATGTATTGGTACGAATATTACGCATGGTCTCATCAACTCCTTGGATATATTGGTACGTATATTACGCATGGTCTCATCAACTCCTTGGATATATTGGTACGTATATTACGCATGGTCTCATCAACTCCTTGGATATATTGGTACGAATATTACGCATGGTCCCATCAACTCCTTGGATATATTGGTACGTATATTACGCATGGTTTCATTAACTCCTTGGATATATTGGTACGTTTATTACGCATGGTCTCATCAACTCCTTGGATATATTGGTACGTATATGACCCATGATCTCATATTGTTGAATTTAATTTTACTTATAGTTCAGCTTAGAGGAGGTCATACGTCATTCACCAACACTCCCAAAGACTTCCTTAATGATCAATCAGTGTTAATAATTAAAAATCAGTGTTTTATAAAGGATCAATCAGTGTTATGTTCATGCTCATTCAGACTTGTTTAAATGATCAAGCGGTATTTTATTAATGATCAGTGGTTTGTAAATGATCAGTGTTTGATAAATGATCAGTGTTTTGTAAATGATCAGTTTTTGATAAATGATCAGTTTTTGATAAATGATCAGTGTTTGATAAATGATCAGTGTTTTGTAAATGATCAGTTTTTGATAGTAAATTATCAGTGTTTGATAAATGATCAGTGTTTGATAAATGATCAGTGTTTGATAAATGATCAGTATTTTGTTAATGATCAGTGTTTGATAAATGATCAGTTTTTGATAAATGATCAGTGTTTTGAAAATGAGCAGTGTTTGATAAATGATCAGTTTTTTGTTAATGATCATTCAGTGTTATGTTAATGCTCATTCAGACTTGTTTAAATGATCAAGCAGTGTTTTGTTAATGATCAGTGTTTGATAAATGATCAGTGTTTGATAAATGATCAGTGTTTTGTAAATGATCAGTGTTTGATAAATGATCAGTGTTTGATAAATGATCAGTGTTTGATAAATGATCAGTGTTTGATAAATGATCAGTGTTTTGTAAATGATCAGTTTTTGATAAATGATCAGTGTTTGATAAATGATCAGTGTTTCATAAATGATCAGTGTTTTGTAATTGATCAGTGTTTGATAAATGATCAGTGTTTGATAAATGATCAGTGTTTTGTAAATGATCAGTGTTTGATACAGATCAGTTTTTTGTTAATGATCAATCAGTGTTATGTTAATGCTCATTCAGACTTGTTTAAATGATCAAGCAGTGTTTTGATAATGATCAGTGTTTTGATAATGATCAGTGTTTGATAAATGAGCAGTGTTTTGTTAATGATCAATCAGTTTTATGTTAATGCTCATTCAGACTTGTTTTAATGATCAAGCAGTGTTTTGATAATGATCAGTGTTTTGTAAATGAGCAGTGTTTGATAAATGAGCAGTGTTTTGTTAATGATCAATCAGTTTTATGTTAATGCTCATTCAGACTTGTTTAAATGATCAAGCAGTGTTTTGATAATGATCATCGTTTTGTTAATGATCAGTGTTTTGTAAATGACCAGTGTTTGATAAATGAGCAGTGTTTGATAAATGATCAGTGTTTGATAAATGATCAGTGTTTTGTAAATGATCAGTGTTTGATAAATGATCAGTGTTTGATAAATGATCAGTGTTTTGTAAATGATCAGTGTTTGATAAATGATCAGTGTTTTGTAAATGATCAGTTTTTGATAAATGATCAGTGTTTTGTAAATGAGCAGTGTTTGATAAATGAGCAGTGTTTTGTAAATGATCAATCAGTTTTATGTTAATGCTCATTCAGACTTGTTTAAATGATCAAGCAGTGTTTTGATAATGATAAGTGATTTGTAAATGACCAGTGTTTGATTAATGATCAGTGTTTTGTAAATGATCAGTTTTTGATAAATGATCAGTGTTTGATAAATGATCAGTGTTTGATAAATGATCAGTGTTTTGTAATTGATCAGTGTTTGATAAATGATCAGTGTTTGATAAATGATCAGTTTTTTATAAATGATCAGTGTTTGATAAATGATCAGTTTTTGATAAATGATCAGTCTTTGATAAATGATCAGTGTTTGATAAATGAGCAGTGTTTTGTAAATGAGCAGTGTTTGATAAATGAGCAGTGTTTTGTAAATGATCAGTTTTTGATAAATGATCAGTGTTTTGTAAATGAGCAGTGTTTGATAAATGAGCAGTGTTTTGTAAATGATCAATCAGTTTTATGTTAATGCTCATTCAGACTTGTTTAAATGATCAAGCAGTGTTTTGATAATGATCAGTGATTTGTAAATGACCAGTGTTTGATTAATGATCAGTGTTTTGTAAATGATCAGTTTTTGATAAATGATCAGTGTTTGATAAATGATCAGTGTTTGATAAATGATCAGTGTTTTGTAATTGATCAGTGTTTGATAAATGAGCAGTGTTTGATAAATGATCAGTTTTTGATAAATGATCAGTGTTTGATAAATGATCAGTTTTTGATAAATGATCAGTCTTTGATAAATGATCAGTGTTTGATAAATGAGCAGTGTTTTGTAAATGATCAATCAGTTTTATGTTAATGCTCATTCAGACTTGTTTAAATGATCAAGCAGTGTTTTGATAATGATCAGTGATTTGTAAATGACCAGTGTTTGATTAATGATCAGTGTTTTGTAAATGATCAGTTTTTGATAAATGATCAGTGTTTTGTAAATGATCAGTGTTTGATAAATGATCAGTGTTTTGTAAATGATCAGTTTTTGATAAATGATCAGTGTTTTGTAAATGATCAGTGTTTTGTAAATGATCAGTTTTTGATAAATGATCAGTGTTTTGTAAATGATCAGTTTTTGATAAATGATCAGTGTTTTGTAAATGATCAGTTTTTGATAAATGATCAGTGTTTGATAAATGATCAGTGTTTTGTAAATGATCAGTTTTTGATAAATGATCAGTGTTTTGTAAATGATCAGTTTTTGATAAATGATCAGTGTTTGATAAATGATCAGTTTTTGATAAATGATCAGTGTTTGATAAATGATCAGTGTTTTGTAAATGATCAGTTTTTGATAAATGATCAGTGTTGTGTTGGATCCTTACGTTTACAGGTGCCCGGCTCTGGCAGCAGCAGGCCGTAAAACCCGGGCTGGCACAGGTTACACCGCCGGCCGGTCACGTTGGCCTTGCACGTGCACTGGCCGATGTTGGGCTGTGCTCTGTCCTTCTGACACTTGAGGTTAGCAGGGTCCAGGACACCGAGGGCCTCACAGTCACACGCTGCAATGACAGAAACCCACGTCACCATGTCCATACTCCCACTGTAGCTACTTATATAACCCATGTCACCATGTCCATACTCCTACTTCACCATGTCCATACTCCCACTTCATCATGTCCATACTCCCACTGTAGCCGTGCCCATACCCCCACTGTAGCCGTGTATATAACCCATGTCACCATGTCCATACTCCCACTTCACAATGTCCATACTACCACTGTAGCCGTGTATATAACCCTTGTCACCATGTCCATACTCCCACTTCACAATGTCCATACTCCCACTGTAGCCGTGTATATAACCCATGTCACCATGTCCATACTCCCACTTCACAATGTCCATACTCCCACTGTAGCCGTGTATATAACCCATGTCACCATGTCCATATTCCCACTTCACAATGTCCATACTCCCACTGTAGCCGTGTATATAACCCATGTCACCATGTCCATACTCCCACTTACACGTCCATACTCCCACTGTAGCTGTGTATATAACCCATGTCACCATGTCTATACTCCCACTTCAGCTTGTCCATACTCCCACTGTAGCCGTGTATATAACCCATGTCACCATGTCCATACTGCCACTGTAGCCCTGTCCATACTCCCACTGTAGCCATGTATATAGGCAATGTCACTATTTCCATACTCCCAATGTAGCCGTGTATAGAACCCATATCACCATGTCCATACTCCCACTGCAGCCATGTCCATATTCAAACTGTAGCCGTGTATATAACCCATGTCACCATGTCCATACTCCCAATATAGCCGTGTATATAATCCATGTCACCATGTCCATACTCCCACTGTAGCCATGTCCATAGGTGGCACGGGTGGCCAGTCGTCTAAGGCGCCGCAATTCGCTGTGCAGAGTTGCGTCCCTTAGGCATGCCAGAAACCTATGATTGTCGGTTCGAATCCCGGTTCTCCCCGATTATGTTTCTAGGTTTGTCAGCACCATACCCGTGTTCGTTGGTTTCACCGAAGTGGTAAACGTCTAAGGCCTGCATCACTTCGGGCTTTCCTCTCACATTAAGCTGACACGCCGTGATATGACTGGAATACTGTTAAAAGTGGCGTTAAACACAACTCACACACCATGTCCATACTCCCACTGTAGCCCTGTATATAACCCATGTCACCATGTCCTAACTCCCACTGAAGCCGTGTATATAACCCACGTCGCCATGTCCATACACCAAATGTACCTTAGCCCATACATACCTGCGTCCATACATAACAGTACCTGTGTCCATACATAACAGTACATGTGTCCATACATAACAGTACCTGTGTCTGTACATAACAGTACCTGTGTCCGTACATAACAGTACCCGTGTCCATACATAACAGTACCTGTGTCCCGGCGTACATAACAGTACACGTGTCCATACATAACAGTACACGTGTCCATACATAACAGTACCCGTGTCCATACATAACAGTACCTCTGTCCATACATAACAGTACCCGTGTCCATACATAACAGTACCTGTGTCCATACATAACAGTACCTGTGTCCATACATAACAGTACCTGTGTCCGTACATAACAGTACCTCTGTCCATACATAACAGTACCTGTGTCCATACATAACAGTACCCGTGTCCATACATAACAGTACACGTGTCCATACATAACAGTACCCGTGTCCATACATAACAGTACACGTGTCCATACATAACAGTACACGTGTCCATACATAACAGTACACGTGTCCATACATAACAGTACCCGTGTCCATACATAACAGTACCTCTGTCCATACATAACAGTACCCGTGTCCATACATAACAGTACCTGTGTCCATACATAACAGTACCTGTGTCCATACATAACAGTACACGTGTCCATACATAACAGTACCCGTGTCCATACATAACAGTACACGTGTCCATACATAACAGTACACGTGTCCATACATAACAGTACCCGTGTCCATACATAACAGTACACGTGTCCATACATAACAGTACACGTGTCCATACATAACAGTACACGTGTCCATACATAACAGTACCTGTGTCCATACATAACAGTACCTCTGTCCATACATAACAGTACCCGTGTCCATACATAACAGTACCCGTGTCCATACATAACAGTACCTGTGTCCATACATAACAGTACCCGTGTCCATACATAACAGTACACGTGTCCATACATAACAGTACACGTGTCCATACATAACAGTACACGTGTCCATACATAACAGTACCCGTGTCCATACATAACAGTACCTCTGTCCATACATAACAGTACCCGTGTCCATACATAACAGTACCTGTGTCCATACATAACAGTACCTGTGTCCATACATAACAGTACCTGTGTCCGTACATAACAGTACCTCTGTCCATACATAACAGTACCCGTGTCCATACATAACAGTACCCGTGTCCATACATAACAGTACCCGTGTCCATACATAACAGTACCTGTGTTCATACATAACAGTACCTGTGTCCATACATAACAGTACCTGTGTCCGTACATAACAGTACCTCTGTCCATACATAACAGTACCTGTGTCCATACATAACAGTACATGTGTCCATACATAACAGTACCTGTGTCCGTACATAACAGTACCCGTGTCCATACATAACAGTACCTGTGTCCATACATAACAGTACCCGTGTCCATACATAACAGTACCTCTGTCCATACATAACAGTACCTGTGTCCATACATAACAGTACCTGTGTCCGTACATAACAGTACCTGTGTCCATACATAACAGTACCTCTGTCCATACATAACAGTACCTGTGTCCATACATAACAGTACCTGTGTCCATACATAACAGTACCTGTGTCCATACATAACAGTACCTGTGTCCATACATAACAGTACCTGTGTCCATACATAACAGTACCTGTGTCCATACATAACAGTACATGTGTCCATACATAACAGTACCTGTGTCCATATATAACAGTACCTGTGTCCATACATAACAATACCTGTGTCTGTACATAACAGTACCTGTGTCCATATATAACAGTACCTGTGTCCATACATAACAGTACCTGTGTCCATATATAACAGTACCTGTGTCCATACATAACAGTACCTGTGTCTGTACATAACAGTACCTGTGTCCATATATAACAGTACCTGTGTCCATACATAACAATACCTGTGTCCATACATAACAGTACCTCTGTCCATACATAACAGTACCTGTGTCCATACATAACAGTACCTGTGTCCATACATAACAGTACCTGTGTCCATACATAACAGTACCTCTGTCCATACATAACAGTACCTGTGTCCATACATAACAGTACATGTGTCCATACATAACAGTACCTGTGTCCATACATAACAGTACATGTGTCCATACATAACAGTACCTGTGTCCAAACATATCAGTACTTGTGCAAATAGCCATACTGTAACTGTATCCATACACCAATCCTACCAGTGCCCATACCCACTGTATCATGTACCATTTCCAAACTCTATATGTATTACATATAATGTGCCCATGATCATTATCATTGTTTTTACCACTGCGATAGTATTTCCCTCACAATCACCCCAACCACATAATACTTACGCAGGCAGACCTTGGTGTCATTCAGGGGTAGTGACACGTCAGGGTAGAAGGCGTCTAGACACTGTTCACACATCGTCCCCGTGGTGTTGTGGAGGCAGTTGTCGCACACGCCTTTGATCAACGTGGAGTTGAAGGTGCAGCTGTCGGCGTGGTCGTTACACATACATTCTGATGGGAAACAGTTACCGTTAGTACTTAATCAACGATAGACAGGTTCAATAATTAGGCCGAAAGGATCAACACAGAAATCATTAAATTCAATATCAAAACATGTGCCAGGTGTGCTTTAATATCTTGCAGTTCTTTAATATTTATTTTTTTATTCAAAAGGAATTACCGTAATAACAATTTAAGGGCTTACATTTTTGTGGGTGAACGTATTCACCAACTTTAAGACAAAAAAAATAAAATTAATAAGAATGACAATATGTTTTCATATCACCGACGGTTAATATCACAATGACATTTAAAAAAATCCAAGGTATTTTTAAATGACTAATACTAAATATTTCCAACGAGAATTCGTCATTTATTTTTCACTTTTTATCACCTTACCGAGCCAAATCAAACTTTAATATAATTAACAAACGTACAATGTATTTTTCGACCTACCAAACAAATTTTACACTATCAAAATCCGTAAACCAAAAATCCTGGCTTTATGTAAGATTGGTTATAAGCATTGATTAAAGTCCTATGTATAGTTAACTCAATCATTTCAGGTTTTGACACAGTTTACACCCATGGTAACATAATAAATTAGATCTACTTTAAAGCACATTTGTTTTTCATATTTCATTTTAAATTTTATAAGGTTCACTTGTTTCATTGAAATTGAAAATTAGGGGTGTTTCGTTGCAACGTATCCCTAAAATCTTGGAAAAAGCCTGATACTGGGACGAGTAGCCTTGTGGTTAAAAGCGTTGCAATACGGAATTCACCCTCAGCCGGCCATGGTCGTGGGTTTGAATCCTAGGGTTTTAATCTGTGAGATTCATGCCCGCGCTCGTTGGTTTCAGTTAATGTTTGGCTAACGTACAATAAATATACTTTTCGAATTAGGCCCAATTTTAAACTTACTTTCACACGCATGCGCAGTGCCGTTTCGGGACGGCAGGAAGCTGCCCTCCCGCCATTGTTTGTTGTTGTAGAGGGGCAAACATCGCTCACAGTCCTTCCCCGCGGTGTTGTGCTGACACTCGCACATGGAGTCGCCGTTCAGGTCGGACATGCAGGAGGCGGCGTGCAAGTTGCAGAAACAACTGGGCGATAAAAGAAATTTGAGAGTATCACAGCAATCAACTTTCGTCATCAAGTTTATGTCAAAGCTTATAAACGTCCAATGACGTCATCCTATTGTTCTCTGGTCGGGTTAAATGGCATAAACAGGGACGCTGTAATGTCCCTGGGATTTTAAATAATATACCTGGGATTTTATAGGATATTCAAGTCATATTTGCTATATAATGTGTTATAATATCCGATGGATTTTATATAATGTCCTGGGTATTTTATTTATACAACTTTGGTTCAGATTGTAACATGTAATGAAATGTAAAATCAAATGACAAATATTTTCTTTATATTCCCGAGGATTGAACACGCAACCTTCGTATGTGTAGCCCAGAGAGTGTACCACAAGGCTACAGAGGCACTGATAAATCACAATATTTTAAGGATGTCCTTTTCAAGATCCGTATGCCAGCAACAGATATTTTACGCACGTTTCCTAATGTTCATGGAAAGTATGTTCGAAACATAAAAATGTTGATAAATGTTGTTTTAAGTTGTTTTTTTCGGTTCATAAGTTAGATAAAACACTTCCCCTCGGGTTGTTTGTGATATTTAAAACCCTTTCCCTCGGAAAGTCCCTCGGGTTGCGGGTTTTAAATATCATAGCAACCCTCGGACGTGTTTTATCCTATACTTAAATGAAAACTTCCCATGCCGGTCATAGTAGATCTCCAGGGCCCTGTTTCACAAAGCGATCTCAGCGCTAAGATGACCGTCACTCCCACACTTTAACATAGACTTACGACAGTCGTAGCGCTACGATCTCTTTGTTGAACGGGGTACTGACTAGGGCTGGGACGGGTCCAAATTTACTCCCCGGGTACCCACCATCCTATTACCCGACCCTACCCGGGTACCCCCTGTAGATATTTAGAGATAGGTACAAACTGTCCGATTTGGACAAGTTTGACCGTAGCCCTGGCAAAACGTATTTAGATACACGTGTAAAACGATCCGCTCAAGCATACACTGAAGTTTAATGCATGAAGTTTTATCTTTATTCAAACATAAAAGTAAGAAGGAATGGGTGCATTGTCAGAAAGAAATGAGAATATTAGTGACTTATAGTGTAACCATAGAGTTTAAGATACTTTTTGTCATTAAACAATATATATCACGTGACTAATCACGGGTCCGGGTAGTCCTGTGGGTACCCGGGTCCTACTCAGGACCCACCCGACCGAGTACCCGAGTTACCCGTCCCAGCCCTAGTACTGATGCCGATTCTGTCTCGGAGTTATGGTGAAACATTAACGGGTACAGGGCCCGTTCTACAAAGCGATCGTAGCGCTACGACTGTCGTACGTCTATGTTATAGTATGGGTGGGTGAGTTGGGTTTTAACGCCGCTTTTAACAGTATTCCAGTTATATCGCGGCGTGTCATCTTAATGTCTGAGGAAAGCCCGAAGTGATGCAGGTCTCAGGCGTTTACCACTTCGGTGAAACCCACGATCACGGGTATGGTGCTGACAAACCTAGAAACATAATCGGGGCGAACCGGGACTCGAACCCACAATCATAGGTTTCTGGCGTGCCCAAAGGGACGCAACTCTGCACAGCGAATCGCGGCGCCTTAGACGGCTGGGCCACCCGTGCCCCCTATAGTATGGGATCCCAAGTTCCGATCATCTGTACCCTCTGCTTGGATGAGTGAGTCGGTAACCGTAGCTACCTGTAGACCTATTATGTCCCGATATCACTGAGGTAGCTCGACTTTTCCGCGGTGTGTTTTTGATGTTACCACATCAGGTATGCACCCACGGCACAATCGACTCTCGTTATAACGAAACCCATTATCTCCATATAGTGCCCGAACAAAATTGTAAATACTCCCAGTACAGGAGAAAGGTCAGTTTAACATTTTGTCGTGTCTTTTTTAAAATTCACATTGACATTTTTGTCTTAGATTACGACTACAAATATGTTTAATTTATCGTTTAAAGACCATACAGATTCCGGAGTATGAATTTTGGGAATACTTGCGTTGCGTCACGTTCATGATGTGTATATTCTGAACAAACTATTTTTAGCCGACAGCAATATACTGGGAATTCTCGTCTTACACCTACAGTGTTTCCTTTTCGAAATTCTCCTTGATCCATTTATCTTCGAATCGACAGGAGTCTGTTTAAGATAAACGCGAACCAATCACTAAACCAATGGACCCCTGAAAATCGGGGTAGAATAAGTCTTCAGCAACCCGTGCTTGCCGTAAAAGGCGACTATGCTAACGGAATCGGATAGTCAGGCTCGCTGACTTGGTTGATGCATGTCATCGTATCCCAACTACGTGGATCGATGCTCAAGATGTCAATCACTGGATTGTCTGGTCAAGACTCGATTATTTACAGACCGCCGTCATATAGCTTGAGTAATGCTGAGTGCGGCGTTGAACAACAAACAAACAAACAAACTTAACCATGCATACTCACTTGGCTCTAATGTTAATGTCCGAGATTCCATAGTAGTAGCGAAGGAAGTCAAATCTGTTTCTACTGGCTTCCTTGGAATCTGTAGCCGGGTAAAACAATTGTATACGAATATCTGTGAATTTGAAGAATCCCTTAATATTCTCCAGCTCAACGTAATACTGTGTGGTGTCTTCTGTCTTCAGCTTAATCCTCTCTCCCGGACCAGGAAAGTCGACCTTCCCGCCTGGCTTCGGGTTCCCTGTGTCCTTGCTGTAGTCCGCTGTACAGATCACCGTCGTCATGTTGTTAGCCGTGATGGCGATGGGCACGTTGGGGTACTCCTTGGCGCAGTCTCTGGCATAGTACTGGAGCGGAACCCAAGTGGCACCATTGTCCATAGACTTGTAAATGGCCATCACCTGGGGACGTCCAGAGTTGAAGGTCAACGTCAAATTGGCCGACATTCTGTACGTCTTGTTGAAGGACAACGTGATGTTGATAGGGTATTGGTGGTCAGGGAACGTAGATTCGTACTGGCTGATTGGCCACGTTTTTGACTGCCACCATGTAGTAGTTAGGGTGTCAATCATCTTCTCCTTCGTGTGTTGACCTAGTGTGCAGTTTTGCGGGGTGATCTGCAGAAAAATCACACACAATGTTGTCATTAATTTCGGAATTCATCAAATGTATCATTTGCATACGTTTGGTCAGTAATCAAACTTTCCATAAAACAATTCTTTTAATGAATATATATATTCTCCCTGTACAGAATTTTTACTTCATACAAGTTCATACGTAAATATTATTCCAAATCCACAGATCTTCATTTTCTATTGAACTATAGCCATGGGATACTGTTTAATAGGCAGCATTAATCACGCTATATCACGGTGGCCTGAAAATAATCGGATCTGGGCCAGACACACCAGGCAAGGAATAACCACGACCCACTCTATTTTCAGACAGCTAATATATTATTTATCTAGATAAACAGATTTCTTAAGGATACAGCTGTTGGTAAAATATGATTTTGCATTTAATAGTCTTCAGCAACCCGTAATGCAATGCCCGTCATATGTCGGTTCCGTTGCAATCAATGGCATATGAATCAACGCACGTTCAACAAGTACCCACTGATCACTTACCGCGCAACGCGTTTCACCAGTCAATACTCGTTTTATAAATATGTGAATCTTAATTACAAAGTAATTTATTGTCTTTATAAAACGGACCGGTGAAGATCCGGGGTAGAATAGGTCTTCAGCAACCCTTGCTTTCCGTAACAGGCGACTATGCTTGTCGTAAGAGGCGACTAACGGGATCGGATGGTCAGGCATGCTGACTTGGTTGATGCATGTCATCGTATCCTAATTACGTGGATCGATGCTCATGATGTCAATCACTATATTGTCTTTTCCAGACTCGATTATTTACTGACCGCCGTCCTATAGCTAGAATGTTGCTGAGTGCGGCGTTAAATGACAAACTTTGTAGAACGTCAGGGCGTAGGGAGTGGGTGATGTTTTTCCATATATCAGAGGTGTTGGAAGCGGCCCGTAAATCTCCACCGCGTGTAGGTCTAAATATCTGTCTTTATAACATAGAATCTCCCGATTGTTGCATCAAATTACAACTTTCAGCTTGTCATATAATGCAATGTCCGTCATATGTCGGTTCCGTTGCAATCAATGGAATATGAATGATACCACTTCCGTTCAATTAATTAATTGTCTGTCAACGCACGTTCAACAAGTACCCACTGAACACCTGCCGCGCAACGTGTTTCACTAGTCAATACTCGGCTTGGCGCTCCATTGTAGGGGGGTAAGTGGTGGCTATAGAAACGTATTCAATAGCAAACTAGCACTGAAACTCATATCTGAGCATAACACTCTGGTCACGATCCGAGGGAAGAATGAGTCAATGCATCGTAATAACTCGCACCCTTACATCATGCCAGTGTTGCAGTGTTGCAGATATGATTCATACAATATGACAGCTTTAAAGTTGAACCTTTTTTTTAAAATCAAAAACCTTTATCAGAATTAAAGTTCGTTTATATGGGACAAAATGACCGTGTACAGTCATCGGTTGACCCGGTGGGTGGATAAGAGCTGGGGTAGCGGTACAAGGGGAGAAGAAGAGTGAGTGAGTGAGTGAGTGAGTGAGTGAGTTGGGTTTAACGCCGCTTTGGACAGTATTACATTTATATCGCGGCGTGCCAGCTTAATGTGGGAGGAAAGCCCCAAGTGATGCAGGTTTCAAACGTTTACCACTTCGGTGAAACCCACGAGCACGGGTATGATGCCGACAAACCTAGAAACATAATCGGGGCGAACCGGGATTCGAACCCACAATCATAGGTTTCTGGTGCGCCCAAAGGACTCTGCACAGCGAATCGCGGTGCCTTAGACGACTGGGCCACCTGTGCCCCAAGGGAGAAAAAGAATGGTTGGTGGGGAGGGGGGGTCCTCATTTTGAAACCATGTCGGGAAACGAATCCGTACCTGGTATCTTTGTCGTAACTGAACATTAGGCTAACCCATCTAACCCAGCACCCTGAGTTGATCATTGAAATGTCTTATCTTTATTGCGCATGCGGACAAGGATGTCTATGTAATTATTTTCAGTAGTTCTCACTTTTGCTCATGCTGATTGGCTGGTTACTGCCAATTTGTTCCATTGTTTTCATTGTCTGCGGCCTATACCAACGTTATCGCGAACACCTGTATCATCACAATTTGATTGTGATTCATAAGCACATGCTCATGATACAGTCGGAATCGTACAACCCACCCTGCTTTTATCATACATTTCTTATGAATATGAAAAGTGTTGTATTGTTTTCATGTACGTCATATCAACGCACTGTCGCAAATAATTAAAGATGATGTCATCTATTGTTTATGACGTCACATGCGGGGTTTTTATGACGTTGTTCCCACAATAGACTTATACGGCTGACGTGATCGCGAAACACATTTTACCATATTTTCTAAAAAAAAGGGTAATATGTAGAATAACCTACACGCAACATGGAATTACGGATTAAATATCCCTCGCCATGGTTCGGGATTTAAAATTAATTCACTCGGGAAGATAATCCAGAATTTTAAAATGTATTTTTATTTCTACCGATTTTTAGTAAGTTAGAATCACTTTCCTTTGAAATGAAGACGTCAGTACTTAGTGTGATTATGGGATGAAATCTGCATATAATAAATATGAAGAATACTGTTATTATTTTTTAAACTTTGAACGACCTAATCACGTCTGTAGTACACGAGCTTGGTAAAACCCGGATATAGCAGATGCTGTCATTATTTCAACTATGTATTAACTCAACTATCGGGGGGGGGGGGGGGGGGGGGGGGGGCCGGTCAGGTAGCTTAGTGGTTAAAACAAGCGCTCGTCACGCCGAAGTCCCGGGTTCGATTCCCGACATGGGTACAATGTGTGAAGCCCATTTCTGGTGTCACCCGCCGTGATATTGCTGGAGTATTGCTAAAAGCGGCGTAAAACCATACTCACTCAATCAACTATCAGGGTCGTGTAATGGCTCATAAACAAGATCGGAACCCGTATGAAATGACGAATTCGCATACAATGTATGTGTTCGTTTATATGTGGGGACTGCTGTTACTGATCAATACGTCCCGGGCTTAGGGACTTGGGAGATCGATAGTCGGTATATGTACACAGCTGATGAACTGTTCTTTCAAAAGTAAACACTCTCGGTGTATTCAAGTAACATCTTGACGCGCGGCACGAAGGGCAGTGTCACGGGAAGGCTCACTCGTGCTCAATGAAGGAAAAACCGATAAATCCGGACCAAAGCGTTACCGGTTAAATCATCCGGTTTTTAAATATATTTACATAAATATTTTTTTTATATTGTATTAACCAACCGTCGTACAACTCGTGTTATGTGTGATTAAAACACCGTATTTATTAATCCACTTATGTATTCTAACTGTTAAAGTCATATTGAAAGTTGGTTTATAACATTTTATGTTGCTCTGTATACATTGGGAGTTGTAGGTGTAAAATCGAAGTATGCCTATAAATTAGGACATATGAGTGTGTGTGTGTGTGTGTGTGTGTGTGTGTGTGTGTGTGTGTGTGTGTGTAGAATCTAAACGAGCATCTTTTAATTAACTGAAAATGGAAGAAACATTCCTGAAGGCACATTCCAACATTCCAATATTTAATATTAATGTAATTCATGTGCTATATAAAGGTTTGTACTATTTGAGGGATATAGTATCGTACAAATGTAAAATCTCAATAGCCTCATCAATCATATTTCGTAGTCTGTACTTGGAATTAGGTGATATCAAATTTGTCTCAACTGACACAACACGTACACATGCATCAGCAAGGTGTTGTGCACTGGTTGTGTTTGCATAGCTTCGTTACAACTGTTACCACGCTACATTCGTGTTCGCATTAGCCACGTCCTGTACTGTCATGAAAAAAAAGTTATTTTTACACGTTGACGACTTAGAATATGCCTAGAGTCCATGTGTGTCTGGGCGGGGTCCGTAACAGCAGTTGCTGCATCGTCTCAGTTACACGACCTCCTGGGCGGGGCCCCTAGCCAACATTCACAGCTGGGGAGATAGCTGATTTTCAACATCATGCATATCACGTCTCCGTTTCAAGCACGTTATTGAAGTCAGTATTTTTACGCGTGCACAGGTAATAGATGGGGCTGAAGTTAGTATTTGACGTGTGTATAGAGAATTTCAACCGAGTGTCTTTTGATATCAAATATATCAAAGAATTTTGATATATTTGATATCAAAAGACAGGAGGGTTAGATTTTATTTATCATCCAACATCATTCTTCCACTTTTTTCAGTTTGTAGACAGTAATAAGCAGGGTCTAAGTGTAAAAAGTACTGCTAACAGCTTCACTAGCGGAGCCATTAGTGATGTCATTTGATTGCGACGTCATGGTAACCAAAGACGTCTGCAAAGGATTGTGATGCATTTTCATTGCAGCGACATCTACAATGGTTGATGATGAACAGGTATCAGTGACGCTGAAGTCGGTATTTTACATGTATACGGGTATCAGTGACGCTGAAGTCGTAAATTGACGTGTATACAGGTATCAGTGATGCTGAAGTCAGTATTTGACGAGTATACGGGTATCACTGATTCTGAGGTCGGTATTTGACGTGTATACAGGTATCAGTGATGCTGAAGTCGTAATTTGACGTGTATACAGGTATCAGTGATGCTGAAGCCAGTAGTTGACGTGTATACACAGGTATCAGTGATCCTGAAGTTGGTATTTGACGTGTATACAGGTATCAGTGATGCTGAAGTCAGTAGTTGACATGTATACAGGTATCAGTGATGCTGAAGTCGGTATTTGACGTGTATACAGGTATCAGTTATGCTGAAGTCGGTATTTGACGTGTATACAGGTATCAGTGATGCTGAAGTCAGTATTTGACGAGTATACGGGTATCACTGATTCTGAGGTCGGTAGTTGACGTGTATACAGGTATCAGTGATGCTGAAGCCAGTAGTTGACGTGTATACACAGGTATCAGTGATGCTGAAGTCAGTATTTGACGTGTATACAGGTATCAGTGATGCTGAAGTCGGTATTTGACGTGTA